ATGCAACACCACTACATGTGATACACTATGAATTATATATTTTTATATATCTATTACAAAAGAACTGTTTACCAAGCATGCTAATCTTTGCACAGAAATAATGCTGACTTTTACCAAATTCTTAAATAAACTTTTCCATTCATAGTGTATCACATGTAGTGGTGTTGCATTACCTCAGCATACTCCAAGCTACTAAAATACCCATGACCTCTTCTTCGTGTGACCTCCTTAATACCTGCTACTTGTTGTACATGTCTACAGCTGTGTGAACATTGTGTGTAGTCTATTTGTACCATTGCTACCTGTACTAATATGAATTACAGCTCCGGGCAGCCACATCCACACTAAGCACATTCAACAACAGTAGCTCACACACTGAGGATTACTCCTATTAAGGTATGTGCATCCAATAACTCGAATATGACTAATCCTTGGTAAAGTCCATAAACCCAGTCAGACTTTCAGTAGATCAAAGTATTTCTTTCTAGCACTGCACAGGACGCAAAGCCTACAAACGCCTCTCTGCATGTTCCTCCCCCCCCACCCGTGTTTACCTTTGTAAGGCATCATTTCACGAGTCTTGAGGTACATCTTGGCGCTGCGGGTCGTGCGGACCTTGTTGATGTTGTAGCCCAGCTTGTTGCAGCGGTTCTTCCTGCAGCTGAGGCACATGCCCCTGTTGAAGGCCTCTCTGGAGCTGCAGCGGTAGGCCATGCTCTGCTGCTGGGTGTTCAGCAGAGAGTCAATGAACAGGTGGATGGAGCGCTCATGGGAACATTTGATGAGTTGGTCCATATCTGAAGCACACAGAATACAGACACTTGTGAACCCTCTGCACCTTCTATGGCGTGACGTCATGCAATGATGTAAATGTCTTCCTCGTGTGAGGCTTTTACGGCGTTTCTCACTTTGAACTTTTAGCTGCCTTGCGTAATTAAAACACGTCTCTGAATCTGTGGCTGTTACGACTGGAGGCAAACATATTTTAATTGTAGCTCTGAAAGCTTTTATAGACTTAAAGTGTCTGTTGACAACATGTAAACTTACACAAGCCTATCTTGACAGTTTACAAAACCATTGTTGCAAAAAGGTTGGTCTGAGCAGTAAAAAGTTCAACCTAAATTTAAGCTTTCGTCACTTATACATAACTTTTTTACATTCCAGGACATATGAAATGAGTCAAATAATAAGGGCAGATACATGCCCACATGCCACCAGGTCATCTAGTTGAAGTTTAGTTTACAGTATATAGATTGTAACCAAACCCAAAGCATCATCACAAGCAGAAGAACGAACAATGAGAAGAACATGTGAACATACTTTGGAGGCCCTTGATGCCTGCCGATGCAATCCCCATCAATGTATTCTGGATGTCGCAGCCAGGCTGGAAAGTGCCTCCATTGGGGTAAATGTCGATGTGGCCCACGGCTCTCTGGATGCCGATGCTGCGGTCCGGGGAGCCCCTGGTGTTGGTGTGCAGGACGTCCACAAACTGGGCATCGTCTTTGGACAGGATGTTCTGGTTGTCTGCGTGCTCGAAGGTGGGACCAGCAGGATCCAGACCTAGATAAAAGGAGAGGGAGGCAAATTTCAGCGACGCCTCACAGTGTTTTGGAGGAATTTCTTTGTTGTGCACGGTTTTCCATGAAGAATTGATTGTGTGTAGATCATAAAAGACACATAAAAGCTGAAATAAACGCCTCCTGAATGAACACTTTTATGGACTGATCGACCGATAAAACAGCACATTTAAACATTTGAGTGTGTGTTTCTTTTAGTTTCTTTTCTTCATGTGCCGCTCTGCAGAACCACTGAAGCTCAGGACAATGTGAAGTAGTGATTGCGGGTTGTTAATGGGCTCCTGCCTTTGATCACAGTAAATACACCATTATTCTAAGCAGGTCAGAGAGATGTCCCAACTCAATAAAGTCCATGGGGACAAATAGGGGGATTGGACCCACATACTGGCACCGACTGGTTCACAGCACACTTACAATACGGGCCTGGAATGGCCGGGTGATTATATTTCACTGGTGTAGTGTTTTGTTTTTACGAACAGGGCCTGTATCTTACAATACAGTACAGTATGGTATGTTTGCACGCATTAATTCACTGGCTCAGAGACTAAATTTAGACATTAAAGTGACTAAGAAATGAGCCAAAATGCTTATAGCTAAAACACAATGCACATGGTCGTAAATGTTCTCACCTGTGATCCTGCTGATTTTATGGTCTGTGAGGTCTCCGGCAACTCCAGCCACGTGTGCTCCCAGACTGTAGCCCAGCAGATGAATCCTCTCCCAGGGCAACTGCAGCTCTTTCTGAAAGCGAGGAGATGGATCAGATGTGCCAGAAGAACATGTGGACATAACATAAAACAGTTTAAAGTGAATCCCACAGACTTGCTGGAGGGATTAAAACTAATAGTAGGCTTTACCTGTTCAAATCTTAATGGAGTTTTGGACATAATCCAAGATGAGGATTAATTTGTGTAATTGTATGCTTTGCCAAAACTTTACAAGCTTTAAACTTGGAAGTGATGTAAATAAAGGACAAACAAATGAAAGCATTATTCCTGCCAGTACCCCTTTTTTCCCTTAAATTGCTCAAACAAAGTCTCACCTTTACTAAATTCTGATCTTTGTAATGAGAAGCTGCTGTGAGCCACAGACACGGCCATAAAACACCTTTATAGGGCATTTAAAATCATAATCAGTAGGGAAAACATATCTGTAGCAGCACCACTGGGTTCAAAAGTATTACATCATCAAACAGAAATTTGTCACAGATTCTCCAGCTGCTCCAACTTCTTTGCTGGCAGATTAACGTAGAATACAGTGAAAGTTTTGGTGATGCAAAAGCAGTGGGGGAAATCCACTTTTTGACAAAGAGGATGAGGAGAATATGATCCAGCTGTTTGTCAGCTCCGTGTCAGCCAGCTGGACACTGATCAATGAAGACACTTACTTGTAGCCATGTAACGAACTTGGCCACGTCGCGGCCCACTAGTTTGGTGTAGGCTGCAGAGGTCGGGTAGTGCTGGTTGGCGCGGGTCAGCCAGTCCACCACGATCACATTGGCACTGGGCTCACGCTCGTAGAGAGCAGACACCAGTTTGGGCACCCAGCTCTCAAACATCCCGGTCACCTGTAGTAACACACACACACACACACACACGGTCACACACATTTCTGAGGTCGTGATTCATTCTGGCTTTAGCCCTCATTCTGTGTGTTGTGTGGTTGGAGAGAAGCCAAATTGTCTTCAGGTTTAAATCTTGTTGCATGACTAAATCCCATTATAGGAGGAGATGCATGCTCTGTGTGCAGAGCGATCTCACTGTTCTCAGCCTGTCTGCTCTGAAATGTGCATTTACTGTTACATTCATCTCATCAGTTTGGACTTGGCTCAACATTCACGATTCCGACATTTCATTGGCAAGACTCAATTTTAAGTTCAGTTTTTATGGCATTTTTAAAAAACTGGTATTGGTGATATAATTTCACTTCATAATTATCTCTGAGCCAGAGGAGAAATAAGAGTTTTACATCTGAGCGGACCAAAACAAAACAGAGCACATAACCTACATACATAACACACAAATAAATACTTAATTAACAAACCAGGCACCCATAAGATAAACCTGCTGCAATACCTGTGATTTTAACATGGTTTTCTATAGTACTGCATGCTGGTGACAACTTCACATGAGATACATTGAGTTCAACATACCGTCCAGCCATGTATCACAATGAAGGTCTGTGTCTCTGAGTTGAATTTACACTCTTTGATGGTTTCTGGACTGCCTGCCACAATGTAGCACATGTCGTCATCTGGGATGTCGACGGTGCGCAGGGAGAACTTGGACACGATGTCAGTGAAGTCTGTGATCCATTCAGAAGTGGTCGGCAGCGGAGTACCGGTGACTGTGGCGTTTGCTGTTACAAACAGTACGCAGTGGATTAGATCATTATGGTATGATAGAAATGTAGAGGATTGCATGCACAAGTCAGGGAAACTTAACATTAAAGAACATTATTATTACACCTTCCAGTTCTATGCATACATACATACATACATACAACAACCAGGCAGCAATTTGAAACAGTCTTGCCGAGGACAAAATAAACACACATCAACAAACAGGAAACTTTTTCATGCAAATTGCGAAACTTGCTGCTTTTCTATCTGTCAAACTAATGGACCACTGATCACACCAGTGTGTCAGTGGACCGGTAGAGACATAGAGCATGGCTGTGTCGCCCCCTTTTGTCTTCACTGTACTTCTACCAGCATAAAATGAATTAAAGATTAAAATATTGTCAAAAGCCTGGAATTCCTTAAGAGATTAATTTCAATTGATAAAACCTGGATACAACCAGATTATTCCACTGGGTCTTGTTTTGTAACTTCATAAGTCTTGTAAAAAAAAAATCAAACAAATCTAAATGGTTTGAAGTGGAAACAAATACCAGTAAAAAGTATTGCTAATTAAACATTGAGTATGTTTTTGTTTTTTACACTCGGAAATAATGCGATTTTATAACATTCTTGTTTTTCACCGTAGTGTTTTGTTTTTCCTCTGTTCTCTCTCCAGACAAAAGGCCCGTAGCAGCCGCTTTGCTTCATGCACACATGGACCTAAATGGCATGCAATAGGATGCAGACCTGAACTGTGAAAGCGTTCCACGGGGTTACTCGCGGTCAACACGGAACATCATGCAGGAATGAACCTGATCCCCGCATGTAATTGCTGCCTCATTAGAGCTGCGGATGAATCAGGAAAATATTCTCTTTGTAAGGCAAACAAGCTGATAGGTCGTTCTTACCGAACACGGTGGTGGTGGTGAGTTCAGGGTCAGAAGAAAAAGTTGCAAAGATTTTCCCCAAAATTATCCAAACAGACAAAAAACTGATATTTTCTTTTCCCATATTATTGCTAAGTTTTTTTTTTTCTTAAATATCCTGAATTAAAAGTTATCTTGGTGTCCGGCGGACCGGCTGTATATCCAAGCCTATGATTCAAAACACAAAGTGGTATGGAGTTGCGGTTTAGGAGTAAAAGGTCTTATGGTCTGTCACAGTTGTCTCTCCGAGTCATCTTTATGGGTGGCTCATTTGAATATTCAAACATGATTGGCTGACGGTCAGAGGGGCGGAGTTTAAACTTTGTCCCAGCTCTGAAATCGCTAAAGGGAAATCATTCACAATCTTCTGCACAGGAGAGCTGACTAACTGCAGCGCACCGGGATGTGTCATTAGCTTCATAGAAACGGTGTCATTAGTGCCAATTATCAACTATCAATTAGATTGTTTGATTTTTAGCAAAGTTTTGCAGTAAAGTTGCCTCAGAATTTAGGACAAATTTACATTGTTAAATGTGTTTGTTCATAACTCATAATAAGCTGTTGAACAGAAGCAAGAATGTATGTGGAAAATTAAATGACTAATCTATATTTTTTTTACACATTCAAGCCAATATTATTAAATAAAATTCCTGCATTGAAAATGCTTTTAAAGTAAAAGTATGAAAGTATTATCAGCAAAATGTACTTAAAGCTAGGGTAGGCAATGTATTTCACAAACATGTTTTGTTATATTTGTTGAATAAGACAATATGTAACATTTTATCCAATTCATTTATGGCTCTGTCACTTGCAATTTAATGTCAGTTTACTTTAATTCACTGATAATCCAGTCAGCACAGTACTGCTCTCCAGGAGTCCTCCTGGGTATACATCAAAGACAAACAATTGAAGATAAGTAAGACAATTAAATCACAGTGCTAACAGCACAGTCTGTCACAAGCTAGTGAATTGTAGTATTTTCATACCGAAATACATCACATTACATTACATTACAGTCATTCAGCAGACGCTTTTATCCAAAGCGACTTACAATTCAGATTCTATTACACCGTAGGCACAGCTACGGGAGCCATTTTACACCTCTCCAGCACCAGTTATCTCCCTGATCAGAGGGTCATGATTTTTTTCTAAACATAATCACTGATGTTGATTGTATGATTTAGTTAACTGATGCCATGGTGTTGTCAGTCAGAGACCACTGAAGCCAAGTCCGATGTTATCATCTTAGGCAGATCTTCTGAGCGTGTGTGTTTGAAAGCCCCCTTTCCTATCGGCGGATCACTGGTGAGTCTGCACTCGAGAACGATGACAAAGCACGACTGGATCCCAATTTATTGAACAAAGCTTAAAAAGCTAATAAGAATATAAATCAATAAAAGTACATTCCCATCTCATATCATGTCATGTAAAATGAAAACAAGATGTTTAGATGCTCGGTCCATTCTCTACGCTGGTAGTTAAACCCCTTTGCAGCACTTGGGGGCACAGAAGAAACTCAAAAACTCTAGAGAAATCAAAGACACATGTAGACTGAGAGCACGCATGAAGGAAATGTGTCCGAGCCCCCATAAGCTTTATGATGATTTTCATGCCAAAACAACTGCGTGAGAATATTTTATACCTTTGTTTTCTCTACAAACTGAGGGCAACAAAACAGATCAACCTATAGCCTATATGTTTTTCCATCAGGATAAAGTTTTCTTGTTTTTAAACCTGATATGCATTTGTTTTTGGAGAATCAGGTCAGTGTAAGATGTCGCCCCCAGGACTATTATTCTTCTAAAACCCGTAGAGATAAAACTGTATGAGATTTTGGATTAGAATATTACGTGTGGTGCATGACTCAGGGGGCCGTGTTGTTTAATGTTCTGTGTTGCTTTAAAAAGAAAAAGAGCCACAGAAGCAAAAGAGAAGTGTTGCATTCATCGAACCCTTACTTTTTGTCTTGTTTACCTTTACCTGCATAGTAGTCATTTTACACTTGAGTTTTCTGCAAAAACCTTCTTTTTTGCCCCTTGACCTCATTAGAACCCACTAGAAAAGTACTGAAGCGGTAACCTTTCCCTTCGCCACAAATTGAGCTTCTACATTTGATGAAACATCACATGTTTATAAGCGGTTCTCATAAAAATCAGGGAAAGTCATGAAATCTCAAGGTGATTCAATAATGGCAAGTACCTTTTTTGAGATGTTCACAAAGAAAAACTTAACATAACTTTAAATGCTAAGTCAGCGTGGATACAAAAGAAAAATAGGAAGAAGCTGATTCACTTTCCTTCATGACAGACCAGCATTTTCTGCACAATTGCATCCTCAGTCATCGACTTCTGCTATTTTCCTTCTCTAATTATAGTATCCCGTTTCTTTTATCTGATATGTTGAAGCGTATGTATGCCTATGAGGAGGTGTGTTTGTATTTATGTGTCTGCCAGTGATTGTCACGAAGGTGATGCTTATGGCCAGACCAACAGGCCCAACCCAGTGATTAGAGAGAGGAGAAATGCCTTTCCCCCATCATTCCCTGAAGTTACTGTACTTGACCCCAAGGGAGACCCACAGAGATATATGACAGGGCGGTAATATCATATCCTTTATGAGACACACCCTGGCATGCAAGAAGAGGGATACGGGATGTAGAAGAAACACAGAGGGGGAGAATGAGAGCAGCAGCTGATTAGAGACGGGCAGACAAAATGCAGCAGTTGACAGTAGCGACGGGTGTGTTTTGTCTCGTATACAGATCTGATATGTCCCAGTCTAATGTCACTCAGTCCCTTTAAGCTCCAATTAGTTTGGCTTTGACCTTGAGACCATGCTGAGGAAATGAAAAGATCACTGCAGAGAGAACATATATTCCCTGCTGGGGAGGAATTCCTTCACCATCCTTTTATTCTTCTTCTGGAGTCGTTCAAACCTAAAGGACTGCACGTTAGTTTCACATTCCTCCGTTTAAACTTCTGAGAGATCATGAGCAGAGCGGTGTTGAGATGACGCAGACTTCGTAAATCTGCTGAATGTCCGAGGCAGTGACCTCCATCTGTTTCCTCCAGTATAAGCACATGTGTTTATGACCACTGGAGCAAACACAGGTGTAACTTCAACCCCGAATAACAACAACACACAGTCAGTCATGCTTCCATGGAATGGGACAAAAACCTCATCAAGATGTGTTGAAGCAGCCGTGCAAACACACTCTCACTCACACACACACGCACATAGTGAAATCCTCAACCCCTATTCTTGCGTTTCAGAGAGGTAACACCATGTGCTTACAGTATGTGGCTTCCACGGTAGGCTGAAGATGTGGCTGCAGACTTTCATGTTATCTGGTGTTATATATCCATCTTCTCCTCTGTCCCTTAATCTGTATTCTTTGCTGCCTGTTCTAGGTCATCCCCTCATTGTTTTTCATGTCTTCGTTGGCCCTCATCACATCGTGTGCCCCTTTATCTGAATGTTTCCGCTCTCGTTCATAGCCATCACTTGTGTCCAGACACAACAGGAGAGGGATTTCTGCTGAGACCTTGAAGCCAGCTGGGGAGCATAATGTCAAAGAGGAAAGACAAACTCATGAATCTTGGTTTCACAAATCTTAAGGTGTATTTCACATAATGACATGGAAGCTCAAGAGACCGCTCTAATTAACCAACAACAGAGTGAATTTTAGCTTTACTGCCCATTCAGAATCCATTAGACGAGGAAAAAGATTTGCTGGGCAGGCAGGACAGAAAGAAAGAAAGGCTCCTCCTCAGTAGGAGTTCAGTCTTTACGAGCCTCCTACTAAAGACACAACAAGGTCATAAAAGAGCCGCAGAAAGACTTGAGTGTGTGAGGAAGCCAATATTTTATGCCTCTATTCAAGGGTGACAGGAAGTGTTTGTGTTATACACTTGTGCCGGCAGTTTAACGAGGAAAAACGAATTGATGCGTGAATTGCGCGTGTGCGTGCACAGGACATGTGGGTGTTTATATCTAATATACACTGAGAGTGTTTGTATCCACTGTACACTGTGAGTCTTAAAGCCCTTACTTTTCTTCTGTAGAATTCAGGATGTCATAGATTATTATTATTACAAATTAGATTAGAATGGTTTTGCAAGTGAAAAAGCAGCTGAAATCACATCTGCGGCCTCGCTGTGAGTCTTTTTTCTTTTGCAGTGACAATGAGATCGGTGGAAAGCCATAAACATCAGCCATCTCTTATAGCATGTTTGACGGAAGGAAGAAGAATGTGTGGAGTTCTTTCTGGTTCTGCTGCATTGATCAATCGTGAGTCTGACAATGTTAAAGGAGTGCAATGCTAAATAACTTCTCCTTACATAATGTTTGACATATACAGTATATAAATATATATTTAGATATGCATGAAACCTAAGTCCTGGTGCAGTAGGCACTGTTACGCAGCATGAGTACATTTTTGTATGCCAATTGGATAAGGCATGCATGTAAATACTCGTACAGTGTGTGTGTGCATGCATGTACAGTATGTGCAGAGGAATAAGTGTGAATAGGAAAAACACATGCACACACACACAGAGGAACAAATGAGTTGAAGGCTGTACATCTGTTGCTGCGTGTCCTCTGTAAGTCAGAGCTTACAGAGCTTACACTGTCCTCTACACATTATGTGTCCAGTACACAAAAGCCTACACACTTTTGTCATGGATGCAAATAAGTGCACACAGAGTCCCGACAGTGAGATGCAAAGCAAGGACGCATATATGTATGTGTGTGTGTGTGTGTGTGTGTGTGTGTGTGTGTGTGTGGTGGAGATCCACACCCTGTAGCTGTGCCTGCTCAGTTGAGTTTTCTCCAGTTTCTCCGTCATGCCTGTACATTGCAAAGGGGCTTTTGCACATGTGTGTCGGTGGATTTCTCTGCATGTTATGAGAGGAATGCAGCAGCTGAATGAGTCCTACGTGTCAGGCAGCTGGTCAAGTTCGTGTTAAGGCAGACGACTTGGGCCGCCGTGCGTACAGCAGTGAGCACCAGTCCAGTCGGACCGGAATTCCTCAAGTCACTGATGTCCCAACTCATGAGGGAGAAGAGATTTCATAACTATTTGATTTCAACTGCTCCAGAAGATGCCAGCGTTTTGCCTGTAAGCAGTTGAGAAGGGGTTGAAATGTCAATTTCAATTCCTGTTGACTCTGCTGTTTAAATTATTTGAATCATTTTGCACCCCTAATCTTATCTAATAATAAACTTCAACATGAACACGTTGATGTATTATTCTACATCAAATACCAAGTAGGTTGTTAATGCACTAATTGTGATGTTTCACAGGATTGGTCAAAGAGTAAATTGATTTCATGAAGTCATTAATTTATATATTTTGTTCTTTGTGCAAACAGATAGTAAAGAAATAGCCCAAATTAAAGACTGAGAGAACAATCTATGATTGTCTTAAGGTGAGAAACAGCTCAGACATGAATCCGAAACAACAGAACATTTGGGGACAGACTTTACCCTCAGTGTTCAGCATCCCCCTTACAGCCCCGGATGACAGCAGCCTGATGTCTGACTCTCCAGGTCTTGGACTGGGATGACCCATCTTGGCTCAGGTTTGGCCTTCGCTCCCTTCTCTTCTGTCTGGCTGCTGTCTGAGCTCGATGTCTTTGGTAGACAGGAATCAGAGTTTGCATCATTCCTCCCGTGCTGCTGCCCAGCAGCCTTATCATGAAGACTGGCTGCATTGCACGAATGATTGTGATGAACTCAGGATTATCGTTTTGGCAGCAGACGAAGGATTTCCCCCAATGTAAACATATGTTATCTCTCTGTGGTTTTGCCTAAATTCCTTAAAAACCATGAGCATAAATGTCTTTTAAGGATTGCAAAAACATACTCAAAAATCATTCCAGGTCTATATGATGGGTCAATTTAACAAAGATATTCTCAAAAGACATTTGTTGGCAGAAAGAGGGCAGGGCGGATACAGTAGATAGACTATATATCGCCTTATCTCTCTCCCTTTCTGCATTTTTTTGACCCACGACACTGAAGCTCTGCAGACCATCTCCTCCTCCCTGCAGTTTGAGCTGTTGTTCCGAGCTTCATTTCTGTTGAAACATAATAAGGATGTTAGCTCAGCTTTGATTTCCCTCAGCTGTCCAAGGAAGCTCCTGGTGGATCCACCTGTGGTGGTCTCAGGTCTGGTGTATTGCAGCCTAACATACTGTATAAGAGGAGCACATGCACATGAACGCACCACAAACATCACGACCGTGCTTCAGCGTCTCACATTCCACTTGCGCTGCCACTGATTCAGAGAAGTGAACCAATTGTAGCGATGAAAACACTGATGAGGATCTTACTGAAAACCTGCTGTGTGATACGATGTGAATCCCATCGTGTTTGTCTGTTTCTCACGTGCTGTAGTCTCTTGCCATACATTCACTCGTGTACATTACTTTTAATACAGATTAACCTTGTGATTTAATAAAACAATGAAGCAGTGAGTGTGAGAGGAGAGAGACTCAAGAGACACAGAGATGTGGAGGACACTTCAGCTAGATGGCTGATCAGGACAGAGAGAGAAAACAAGCACACATTCCAAAAGCCAGGGTAAATGATGTTGCACAGCACGGGGGTGACGCCGAAGATCAGTGGTGCGTGTGTGTGTGTGTATGTGTGCATTCCATTTACATTGACCTCATTGTGAGTGCTTACAGACACATATATGCCTGTAAGTGTGTATGTGTCCGGGTGAAGTGTCTTTGGCCTTCTCCAGCTCAGTCGTGTTGATTTAAGCTGTTCGTTCTACATCTGGCGGACTGTTTTCAGTGCTGGTCACTGATGCATGTCCTCAATTTAACCCCCAACATCCTCTCACTCACAAGTCATGTCCTCTGTGCATTTATCTTCTGTCACAAGCTTTTCCACTTGTAGCGCCGCTGTCATCCATGTCCACATGGATGCAACAGCCAAAGCTTGCAATCATCAGTTTTAACTGTTGCTTATCATGAGAAAGTAAGTATTTCAGCTGGTTCTACCGTTGCACTCACTTTCCTTTAATATGCATAATAACATCTACTTAATGCCTGAAGTATGAATAGAAACGACCAGTTCTTGCCTCTATTTGTGATTATATATCTCCCTCTAGTGGACAATTAGAAAACGACAAGAGGAAAATTGTTGTTTTTATTTGCCACATAAGGGTCAACAGGTGGGTTGGGGACGGGGCCAGTGATGCTGTCAATGCTGCAAACTGACAAATGCACATCTCTGAACCATGCCTGCATGTTGTTTTGTGTTACTGGAGTTGCAGACCTGCAGATTTGATACAATGACAGGGGTCCCCCGTAATGCCACATCTGCAATAACAATTTTCTTGGCTAAAAGTTTTCTTACAAGAGGGAACAAGTGTGCAGACATCCAGGAAAAGACACAAAACTAAAAATACTATACTGCAGGACACAAAGGAGGCTTGCATTCTGTTAGGCTCCTAATAAATAGTTTATTTATCTTTTCTTTTTTTTAAACAGGCATTTCTTGTAGAGGCAGTAATTAACTCAAATCATTATCACCTGCTGGTGTGTGGGGTTTTTTTTTTTCCTTGGGGATTGCTGACCAGCAGGTGATAATGCTTTGGGTTGATAACAAGCCTTTGTTTTCCACTTTCTCACGGGACTGAGGCAAGAATTAAAGGATTTAATTACAGCCTAGAACAGTGTGCAGACCTCCTTTGTGCCCTAAACGGTTGTCCACACCATTGAAAGCAACTTCTAAATAAATTTATGAAAGACCCAACAAATTTTCACAGTTTATTCGAACTTATTTATTAACTTAAATTAACACCAACAGCAAGAGTTTACAGCCTGCTGTTGAGCACTTCTCCAGCAATATGCACACACTATGAGTCATATCTTGCACTTCATGATAGGAGTAGCTGTGTCCTGAAGGAGGAAAGCATCGGTGGGAAGAGAGGAACTCCATTTGTAAAAGAGGAACTTGGATCCAGCAATAGATAAGAACCAAGGGAAGTTAGAAGTGAAGGAGCTATATCTAGAAATCATATCGTCATGACCGTGAAGTACAGAGGTCAAGAAGATCATCTCCTGTTGCAAATAAACACGTGATCCTGGACAACATGCTATTTTGCAATGAGAATGTTATATGCGACACTGACACTTACTGAGGTGTCTGTCACGAGTCTACATTGTTGGACTACAACCAGTTCTACCAGACCACCCACTCGGTTTGGTGTTGCAGCCACTAGCTTCCAACCTCATTTCTTCAGTCTAGGCTGAAGGTCTTTTAGTCATGTGAAATACAGCACATCCATTCTCATCGCACTTCCAAGTTGAGTAACTTCTCCCTCTGCTGTTTGGAAAGGTTTCAGGGCACCAGAACAGAAGTCCGAGTGCAAAAGTTCAGTGTTTGTAGTACTGAAGAGAATCATGGCCTCTTGGTGGTTTCATTATTATTCCATTTAAGTCAGAGAGAAACGTCCTGTTATATAATCAGTTTGCAAGAAAACTCATCTTGTACACTATTGACTATTAACCACAAATGAAAATGTAAGTTGTCGATCAAGTCTTCACATCTTTGCGGCACGATCATTTTATTATCAAACCATTCAATGGTGGCAGAGCATCCCCAAATCTAAATGGAGCCACGTCCAATGTAAACGCTGCATTTTCATACGTCAAAAAAAGGTCTAATGGAAGAAATTGAAATTTAATTGTTGCTTCAAAGTGTCATGACAGTTCATATGCTTTAGTTTAGTTTGTGTGTTTAATGTGAGCCCCTGACATTGAATTCTAAATTAATATTTTGGCAATTTAAAATAAGAGTCGGGGAGCATTTGTTTCAGTAGCACCACTGCAAAAAGATGAAAAATCTTTTATTTATGGAGTCAATTTCACCCTGTGAGCACGGCCTTAAATGAACCAAACAGCAGGACTTCACTAAATATAACACTTTTATGAAAAACTACACAAAGAAACACATTTGAGTTACAGAAAACATAGGCTGAAACATAATACATTAAATTGTAAGATTTAGATTTTATAACAGATCTTAATCAATAGTTTGTGAACAGCTCCTGGGACATATTTATTACCATTATCCAACAATCACACAAATCAAATACAAAAAAAGCACTGATTGAAATAAACTAATAAACTAACAAGCATGGATAACAATGTGAAAGAATTTACTTTTAAAAAACATTTTACTCATCGGAAAAAGAATGACGTCAAAAAGGAGCCTTAAGCGATGAAGAACTGACTTGCAACAAAGGCAAATTTAACGAGAATGGAAAACATCCACAATGCTTCAGACAAACTGGGATACAGAGAGAAGACTTGAGGTTAGGTCCATTGATCCAGGTGTCTAGAAAACATCTTAATCCACAACACAGAGCTCCGACGTGACTTTCCACTACAGGCCCACCTGCATATAAAACACATTCTTGGCAAGCAGTTGTGTTAGACTAACAAGGTAGGTTGGACTGAATGATAAATACAAGGCAGGAGATCACTACATCACGCACACAAACAAAAACAACTAAAAAAGGGAGAAGCAATGAGAAAAACAAATGTCTCCATCAAAAAATTTATTGGAATTGTGTCAAAAACAAACAAAAAAATCCTGGTTTTAAAAAAATTTACAAAACAAGATGGACGCATCCTTCCCGAAACAGTCCCACTATCGTCTTCAGGCAGACATCAGTAGCGTCGGCCAAAAGCTCCACCCTGCAGCCCGCTGCCCTGCAGCAGCTGGTTCTGCCTGTTGAGAGCTCCAGACAGGGACTGAGATGTTCCTGTGTTTATGTAGCTTCCACGGCTGGTGGACAAAAACACAGACGCACAATGATCGATACTGTTCTACCATAATATAATGTACAAAAAAAAAAAAAAAGGGGGGGGATAACATGAAAAAAGAGGCGTAAATATTCACTTCTCACCTTGCTATTCCTCCACGTGCTATGTGGCTCTGGCCTGGGATGGCCCCGTCTCTACCTGCAACAAAAAAGCAAAACATAAGACGTGGAATAGCTGTGAGTCTATATTGCCATTACGTGCTAAAAACTCTATAGTTTCAAGGCACGTGGCACCATCACCCCTCAGCTTGCTACTATAGTTATGCCATCTTCTACTCCCATCCTCAGAGGGCTAAAAGCTACTTCGAAATGTACATCATGGTATCACGAAAAACCGTCAATACACAATTAAAGACAAGTATGCATACTTTGCCATGTTCTGTCTCCATCTATTTTTCGACTAGAGTCCCAGTCTCGACCTCCTTCCCTAAGAAAAAAAAAACATTTAAATTTTTCTTCCCTCCAGGAAAAATGTCAGCACTGGACACTATCTCGGTGTTTATGTGGCTCGAGCTGAAGCCAGTCTCACCTGGTGTTGACGCGTTTGTCATAGCCTCCACTCCAGGACTCCCGGCCTTCTCTGCCATGTCTTTCTGACCTGTCTGAGAAGTGCTGAAAGAAAAAGGACACGAGACAATTCATTCATTCTGTGTCCCTGCACAGCTGCTACACTTTTACTGAAAACATTCATCCATTGTTACTCTGTGAGGTCACTCATGACCATTCAGTTACATGTTCAATTCTCCCCATCAAGGATTTATGCTTTTACTGTAGTACGTGCATGAGTTGCATCCTAACTTTAGTGAGACGCGGGTCAACGCTTCTTACCTGCCCGTCTCTGTCTGCAGCGACGCTGCGAGTGGTGTCTCGCCTGTCAATCAGCAGGTCGTCTTGGTACCGGCCCCGGTCTCTGTGGTCAATGTCCTGATAACGTTCCTGACGACCGAAGTCAGAGCGGCTGTAACGGTCATCGAGGGCCACGCGCTTCTCAGGCCAGTCGTCTTTCCTAAAAGAGGAGCAGGCAACGACATCGAGCATGAAGTTCATCCACCGAGCTGCTCTTTATCCACCCGATATCTACACCATGCATTCAGAAGTACTGAAGCTCTCACCCTTATTCCCGCTAATATCTTGTGATTTCATGATTCTGTCATTATTTACCTGCCATCAATATCATAGGGCCTCTTAACAGGGCGGCGGTCCTGTTCATAGCGCAGCTGCTCCTGCTGCCGCCGCAGCTCATCGCGCTCCCTGAGGATCCTTTCCTGCTCGCGCCGCCTCTCGTACTCTATGCGTAGCCTTTCCCGCTCCAAGAACTGACGCTCCAAGCGGTCCGCGTCGAGGCGCTGCTTCTCAGCCTGGGAGTCAAACCATTCATGAACACGGTGAGATTATCAAAAATGGAACTCGTGAGAAAGTAAAACTGACGAGGAGAAAATTGACTTGATATATGGGAGCAAGATGAACATATATTTCTATTACTGTAATCAACAGGCGTTGCAAGATTTGCACCAGATAAAAATGTAATGTAGGAAATGTGGGTGACAGGTGACTAACAGTACCTCCAGCCAGCTCCTCTTCCGGATCAAGTGTTTCCTCTCCTCTTTCTCTCGGAACAGACGGATTCGCTCGCGCTCACGGTCCGGACGGTTGTCGCCGCCGCGAGTGTCGCGGGTGTCCCGGTCGCCCCGGTCGCTGAAAGAAGATGGCAAAGATCGATCTCTCAGCACCACATGTACAGTTTTGGGAGTATATGTTGTAAATATAGGTCAACAGTGTTAAATCATATTGTACAAAACCGCTGCAAAAAGCATTTCTTCAGCCTTCAGCAAGAACATTTTAGAGAATGATCCTTACGTGAACCTGCGTCTCTCCACCTCTCTGATCTCTCTCTCTCGTTGTCTCTGTCTCTCGCGCTCCCTCTGCTCCTTGATCTGGTCAAACGACAAGATTTCTTTCTTCTCCTTACTGGGTGACTTGCGGTCCCGACTTTTTGAGCTCTGGAGACAATGAAAGAAAAGGTAAAATAGCGACCTTGTACGCTGGCATATGAATGACCAGGGTGCATCTCAGTAACATCTTGTGAGGAAGAAGCTTTCGTTTACTTACTCGTTCCTTGCTTTTGGTTTTCACGCTGATGACGGGCTCTCCTTTGGATTTGTCCATAACTACGGTCCTCTCATTCCGCCCTGTCAAACAAACACAATTGATATGGTCAAGAAAATAGGAAGATGTGTTAAACGAGTGACTTTTATTCAGTGTTTCATTTTTTCTTCATACAAGCTGGAAATGATCCCACATTTCTCACCTTTGCCATCTTTTCCGTCTCCCTCAGCCTTCTCATCCTTTCCATCAGATCTACAGAAAACATGAACAGTTGAGCCAGCGCAGTATCAACCAACATTTTAGAACAACAGTTTAGTTAATGGTTTACTTTTCTCCCACATAGTTGATAGCTTATCCACACTGAGGAGCTCCAACTACTGTGGATGTAGGTTACTACTGGGGCATGTCGTACTATAAATGTTTGCGCCCGTCGTACTTAAAAGCACACCGGACCAAAATACCGAGCTGACGGGGCTTTTTTTTTTTTTTTTTTAGGAAGAGACTCCTCTCAGAGATGCAGCAGCTTGTGAGCGGTCTTACTTGGAGTCAGACGACGGTCTCCTGTCACTGCCAGGCTTCTTGGGGTCGTTCTTGTCGGCTGGCTTCTTCCCCACGGGCTCATTCTTAGCCTGACATGTTTAAACAGGAACGTGCTTATTCACAAAAGCTGAATGAACAGATTTCATTTCACACTGATCATACCATACAATGAAAATTAACAATGACACCTCTTTGGTAGGCATCCGATTACGTGTGCTCTTTAACTTAATTCATTTCTGTATTCTAATCTTTAAACAAAATGATATCAAATGTAACAATCGCCTTGTTACCGGACCTACTATTACCCACTCATGTCTCTACTTAGTACAGGCTTCACAACAGACTTCAAGGATTACATTTACAAACTCATTGCCAGGTGCTTTAGTTCAAACTAAAAAAAATGTAGTTCTGCATAAAAAAAAAAAAAATGCTAAGATTGACTCAGATCGAGAGGGTGATTCTCTGGGCGGGACCACTGCTGACACTCACCTGCTCCACAGAGATCATCCTGCCATGCAGCTCCGTCCTGTGAAGGTGGCTGATACACTTGGTGGCCTCCTCTGTTGAAGACATGGTGACAAAACCATAGCAGCGAGCCCCGGGGCTCTTGGCGTTGGTCACCACCTTCGCTCCAACCACCTGCAGGAAAATGGAGAGATAGAGGAGACGCAAGGACACAAAAAAAAAAAAAAAAGGCAGAGATGGCCAGAGAATAGGAGAAAAAATATATATTAAGTCCTCAATTTTAGATCAAACACGGGTGATCTGTAAATTTGAGGCCTTTTGACGACGGTGTGGGTCTGCATAGACTAACCTTGCCATATTTGCTGAAGAGGGTCTTCAGATCAGTCGCTCTAGTAGTGGAAGAAAGACCACTGACCCACAGATTCCTGCTACTGCTTGCTGCAGCACTTCCAGCGGCTACAAACAATAAATTAATGAGCATATATCCAATGAATATGAAGACAAGAACAGGGGAAAAAACTTCATCCACTCACCTTTTTCATCTTTTGACTCAGTCGTGCCATCTTTCTCCTCAGCGCTAGAGACAAAGAAATAAAAGCAATAAACATACAGCAGTGAAATACCTGGTATCTCTCCTCATACAGATGTATATACTATGTGTTTTATGGTATATAATATATAACTGACAGTGACATCACGTACCATAGTGCAGTGATTTAACAGTGAGTAAATGGAACTATACCATATGGCAATCAGAATACTGGGTAATAAAGTGGGATAGGTGAGTGTAAAGAATGACAAATGAAAACAAAGACAAATGCACAGAACGTTTTTACCTCCAAAGAGCATCCAAATTTTGCTAGCACAAAGGAGCCAATGCAACAGAGATAGCCATTTTGGTTTCTAGTAGACAGAAAGCAACAAACCTCTTTTTCTGATCATCGCCCTCTACAGAAGAGGACTCTTTCACTGTGGAGGCTGAGTCCGCAGCAGCTTTCTCTTCTGTCTTCTCATCCTCCTCACCCTTCTTAGACCCCATTTCTGAATCAACAGTTTCACCCACAGCGCCTTGTTCGCTTACACTAACGGCCTGCGAGCTTTCGTTTTCAGTGTCAAATGTCTCTTCTGGGGCATTCGGGGCGTCCCCAACCTCTTTGGTGGGAGTCTCAACAACATCCATGGCGCTCTCCGCATCTCCAGAGGCGGCGTTCTCGGACTTGGCACCGGTGTCGGACGCATTGTCTTCCCCTCCGGCGGTGGCAGCGCGCTCTTCTTCAGGGTTCGTCTCGAGGCTCTGCTGGTGATCTTCGTTAAGTGGCTCAGATAAACAAGAGCCGGCTACTTTGTCATTTTCTACGGATTTAACAGGAATAGAATGGCACAGAGTTTAATCACTTCTGAAACACAGCAATGGTTAACGAGGAACTGGCAAGCCCTGGATTAGGAACGTCATGACCACTGGCCTGTGCTCTTAGAACTATGTATTAAAACGATGAAGTAGGCCCTAACGAGAGACTGGAAGAGAACCCGAAGGCTGGAAGACAACTAAGCAACTAATGCGACTAACACTTGGGCTCAATTTTTCAAGTCGAACCACTTCACTGTGTTCACCTGATCCAAAGCAGACAAAGAGTTCAATGCTGAAGAGAGCCACAAGATCAGCAGAGCAGCAGCAGCAGCAGCAGATTCTTGCTGCAGTCCGCCTTCTTTCAGCCTTTCACTTTCCCCAGTGTCCATTCGTGATGATGACAAGAACATTGGCCCAAGTCCAGCAATTTCATGTCCAGCTGATTTCCGAGTCAGAGTCTTTAAAAAGCTGTAAACAGTTGATGAGTCTTGATGGATCTTCAGTGTCTTGATCTTCATGTGGCAACCTGGAAACACTGCAATCACCTGCAACAGCTCACACGTCCCTGACCATGAAATATAATTGCTGTCAATGTGCATCAAAATTGTTAACCACCGTTATTTTACTACTGCAAGATAACATAACTTAATCGACATTCTTAACCAGGGACATTATTAATTGTGGTTAACCAAATTTCAACACAAAGCCAGCAATTCCCTTCGGGCTTCCAGTCTCTCCTTCCTGGTTGAAACTAAACTACGTGTTTGCATTCCAAGCTCAACACTGTAAAAAGATGCATCCACCTTTTTCCAAACAATTTTCTACAGTACCTGTTACTTCTTGCACGTCATCTGCATCGGGATCCTGAGCCTAAAAGAAAAGACTTAATGAATGTGACAGTTTGTGACAGCGTGCATTACCGTATAGCTTCACAAGCTTTACATACGTGAGAAATATGTGTGAGGTAACATACCATATCGATTGATGAGCATGTCATATGTTCAGTCTTATCTAACATCTCAGACTCATCCTTCTGTGAAAACAGATACAAATGCAGTCACGTTAAAAAATTGGCATTTAGACAAAGATAAGAGATCAAAATTAGTAGACACATTTGTAGTCGAATTTCTCACCTCTGGGCCTCTTGCTTCATCTTCTGACTCGACGGTCTTGTTGTCATGTTCATTCAACAGCGCGTCATCGTCATGTTGTTCATTCAAAAGCGGGTCTTCGTCATGTACTTCTTTCAACAGCGCATCTTCGTCAGAGTGAGAATTCACGGCTTCCTCGTCGTCCTCGGCTGGTATCCCGTTGTCGTTCTCCGTGTCATCCAGAACGTTCATGTCGAGGATGTCCATTTCCTGCATGTTCTCGTGGTAATCCTGAGGCTCTTCCTGAATAAGAAAGGAGGACATTTGCTGAAGACACTCACAAAACAATTCAACAGCGATTAAGAACTTCGCAGTTGTTAAGGAGGGCGATGCAAAAGCATCATTACAGAAGTGCTTAAGACATGTGAAAATAAGTGAAGCAATCTCACCAGTCCATAGTGAGAGTCCTCCTCGATAGCACTGTCCTCTGGTTCATCATTCTCTTGCCTTGCATCTAGAGTAAATACATTTAGTTTAGACCGAGTGCTCATGTGGGCATCTTACAGGTATCAAAGAAAACGATTTGTGTGTGTCTGTGAGATTTTCAGGTGATGGACAATCATAAGGCAATCCAATACAACCGACACCTCCTACATTTATGCATCTAAAAATGTTCTGTAACTGTGTTTGTTACAGAATAAGACAAGCCTCCCATAGTACTAATACTCCTCACTCTAACGTGCCCAAGGAATTGCACACTGTACATTTTAGCAAATGGAAAATAAATACAGTGAAACATATTTTATTCAACTCATTTGACAGTATAATTCACTTATGGTGAGAGATCACTGGGGAAGTTCACATTAAGATATACTTAACATGTTATTCAGGAAACTCACAATCAAAATGGACTTTCACACATATTCAGGTTACACATCAGAAAAGCTCAGAAATAAAAAAAAATAAAAGAATACTACATTATAAAGGTTGAATTGTTCAGTTTATCTTCAAACTGTTTTAGAGAGTTATTATGGTCATTTTAGAGGCTGTATTTTCAGCTTGATGCCTTTTATTTGCATTGCATTAATAACTAATAGATGTCATCCACTCTACATCCATAATCACCATAAAGTTGAATCGGCTCCAAAAAAAACCCACTCCATGAAGATGTAACGTTACCTAATAAAATTACCATAACCTGCACACCTCAACTACTGATTACGTTACCGAGCAACTTTAATGGAAAGTGACCAGACCACATAGGTGATCATCGTCAGGTGACAGTCTCTCAGACACTATAATGTTTTCTGTAGTTTCTTAAATCAAGACCGTGAATGAAACACCTCGAGTAACTTAAGGTTAAGGCTACCATGTGCGATTTGAGAAACGGATGACTTTCTAGTAAATGTTTGCATTTACAGAAACGAATGGGACAGACCGTCGGATAGTACAGACATGTGCAGTGTAGGTTAAACGGTGTCCACTTAACGTATTATGGAAACTTTACCTTTGGAAGTCCGTTTCGGTGTAACATTAGATTTCTTTGGGTTGGACTCCAGAGCGACGGTAATCTCATCCGGATTTCCACCCTCTTCCTCGATTGCCTGTTTAATCACAGAGATGCGAACACTTCAACACACAGAAGCATTTTATTTTACAAAAATCAAATATGTAAATAGACACGAGATGATAGTTCGTTAGCTAGCTGTTTGGAGCAATTGTAAGCTAACGGTTAACGCTAGCTAGCACACAGTCAGGCCTCGTAAGCTAAGCTAACGTTAGCTTTAGCGTTGACTACGTTCAAGAAGCCACAAAATACAGGCCTCGATAGTAACGTTAAGTTACTTGGGTCAGTCAAATCCAGTGCCTAGTTGTTTTTTTTAACAAGTGAGCAGATAAACGACCTTCTTGAGGCGCTCGGACAGCACGCTCTTCACGCCCGTGATGTCCAGGTTTCGTTTCTTCAGCTCGGCCTTCAGGTCGATCACTCTCAGCTCCGACAGTTTGCGGACCTCTGCGCCCTCCGGAACGTTCACGTCTGCGGATGGGTCAGCCATCGTTTTTGCCTGTGAGGATATCTCTTCAGGTTTTTAAACAATCCTTTTTCAATGCACTTTATTTACTGATGCTGCACTTTACGAATGGGAGCAGCTAGCTTGCAAAAATACTGCAAAATGGAGGCCGCGGTGAAGCCAGTCGATTGACGTTACGCGCATGCGCAGTACGGTTGTAGTGCAGAGACAAGCACAGGATAAATCACACATACAGCGATGTCAACTAACAGGTGTACGAATGCACATGAGATGTAATACAAGTTACAAAAAACGGAAGCATACAACAGTGTATACAATTCATCTTAAACGGATATGTTTTTATTTCTTCCTTCTTACAAATAGAGCCCATATTTTTTTCAATGCATCGTAATGTATCAAATTCTTGAAAAGAAATATGCATAAAACGTTACAAAAATGGTTGTGTTGGTGTAATGATTTAATCATTGGTTACATAATGCTCAGTGAGAATGAAAATTGTACATGTCACTGAATTTGTAATTCGTGTCATTTATTTGGCTGTGGGGCAGGCTTTTGCTGGCAACAAGTGCTTGAGGGGCATCAAATTCACAGTCAGTCTCCTCTGGAATGTTGGCACTTCTGGATGAAGTTGCCGAGTCAATCGTGGAGGATTCTCTGCCAGATTGTGCAGGATATGACCATGCATTTGAGGCTGAACCAACAGAGGAGGAGCTCTCAGGAATGTTGAAGGAGTCGAGGCTGAAGGATGAGGAGGCAGAGCGGGCGTGAGGCGGTCGGGGCTCATGCAGGTTGAGTTTGGAGACCAGTGGTTTACCAACTGTCACTGGTTTCCTTTCCTGTACCTCGTCATCCATGTTGGAATAGGTGTAATGAAGGCAGATGGTGAATGTGAGCTCCCTCTATAAAGACAGTGAAGAGCAAGAATGTGTTTTTTTTTTAGCTTTATATAAAAAATATTAAAAGGCTTGGCTCTGAGTTCCAAATTTTTCCATAAAAGTATGAAATATTGCTTGAAATAGGAAAATGAGGGCATAAACATATATAAGGTTTCTGCTGGGGCATAAAAAAGAGAAGTTATTATGAAAACAATAAGTGTCTGACCCTGAGTCTCTGCAGGCATCGGATTCGTGTGTAGAGACTTGGGACTTCTGGTGAAGGAAGATTTTCTTTGATCAATAATAAACTGCCGGCTTCGAGCAGAGTCTCCTGGTTACTCTTCTTCAAATCAATATCCACATCCTGCCAAAGTAAGACAGATAAAGGTCAATACAGTACTTTTGTTTTTGTGTGTGTGCTTCAAGTATCCATGTGTTACGTCCACTGATTTTATCTCCGCCCTCTTGTTGGAAGAGAGCTGTCTCAGGTCAGCCACACCCCTTTCTCAGTGCCTGGATCACTTACACCTGATCACACCTGGACCTCATTCAACAATCATTGGAGCTGCATATTTACTTCCAAATTCAATGTTTCTGTCCCTTTTTGGCCTTTGAGCTGGAGCTGCTGCTCTGTGGTGGAGGGTAACTGGTGAAATGTTGCATTCTATGTAGCAGCATCTTGACACAGCTCTGCTCTTTTATATGTTTTTTTTTGTCTTTGAGACCCTGACGCCTTATTTGCTTTCTTCTCTTAATCATCTTTATGAAAAAAACGGCACTTATTGTTACACTAAAGTGCTTCGGTAGTCTTTTTCTCACTATCATTCCCTTTAATTCAAAGGTTGGGTAAACTTTGTTTCTCCTTGTGTTCCTCTAAACATCAAGTTCAGGTTGTAACATGACAGATTAATTCCCACTTTAAATATATTGTATTTTGAAACACAGATCGCATGCATGATGAGTCAGTGCAGGCAAAAACGAATGTTTTTTTTGAAATCTCAATGTCTAATGTCTGCTTACAAACCTGAGGGAAGTCGGTAAGCTGAGCACAGCAGGAAACTATTTCTTGGGGCTTCTCAAGTATCCGACTGTAGATGACCATGATGTTGGAGAACTCTGCAGCAAATCCAAGCTGAACCTTCACTCCACAGTCAAACTGCAGACAAAGGCTCTTTGGTAGGACTACAAAGAGACATTTAAATCACACCATGAGACAATACTTTTGATTTCAACAAACATTAAATTATCTACAAACATGACAATCATTCTTGTAATATTTAATAATTCACGCTAATGTTTGTGAAACAAGTACCGTGAGCGATAGCCCACTGCAGGTTTCGAGCTGAATGGGAAGCAGAACATTCAGCGGTTTGTATCTGGTCGGTGAGGGAACGTCGTTCTGACAGATTACTGCGTAGCTCCAGAGCCTGTCTCCCTCGAGTGATCTCACAGCGCCCCATGTCTGATAGGAGAACATTACGACATACAACAAGCATCAGTTAGTGCTGTTTAGGAGCTTAAACCCAAAGAGGGTTGTTGCAACAGGTGTGGTCCATCACCTGCCGATGCTGTAACATGACATGTGGCCAGAGCTGCTACATTCTTAAAATGTTTAACCCCAAAGACAGTAGAACTTTGTGAATGTTTGCTGCCAAGTATTCCTCCATTATACATTTTATCACACAGAAATAGTAACACCAGTTCAAACTGCAACAGTTTAAAATGGTTTAAAGTATTTCTCCGGTTAAAGAAAATGTTCCTCCCACATTCTTGTGTGCCAGACAAAACATGGAACTGTGTTTATTTGCTGCCATAGCAGAAAAGTGTGGGACTGATGACAGTGATGTCTCTGCTCCATGTTGGTGTGTCAGTAAACCGGGTCATGGAGCCAACGTGGACCACAATAGGTCTTTCTCACAGCACACATTTGGACCCGTCGTTGTGGTGTTAATCATAACACTAACGATGGCTCTGTACTGTTCTGGTGAGAGCCAGCACACACCAAACCAAGAACCTAAAATCAAAGCAGTGGTCAATAATTTGATTATTTACACCTGTGCTTTTCCTACTGTGACGGGTCAAAATATCTTCTGTGAGAAAGGCCTATACCAGAGCCTTCAAGAGGGAAACACATCGGACTATACAGGTACAGGTGTGTCATGATCTCCACACAGTCAAGCGAGCACACAAGCAATATAAATGTAAAAAGAAAATTCACATGAAGGAGCTGCATGAAAGCCACATGCTGCAGCATAATGTGACCTAATGACTACATGATAGGATCATCTCAAACATTTAAATGTAAGGCATAATCATACTTTCCATGCAACATGGATATCTCCTAGCACGCCCAGAGATCTCATACTTCACGCGCCTGCTCCACATACCTTCACCCACTCTGTCTAGCATGACCGTGACCTTCTCATCTTCACAGACTCGCCGCTTGAGGAAGCTTATGAAGATGCCATTTGCCACGTCTTCCCTCTTCACCTCGTACGCTTCAGCGTCTACGCATCTAAACACACAGCACGCCACACATGAGTGACACCTTTTAGCCTAAATCAGAGAGACTAGTTCAGACATGTCTGCAACACTGGAGGAGGTGAATCAGCAAACTTACGTGGCATATCCAAACACTATATTTGCCGTGACCTTGAGCAGTCCTGGTTGTACAATGACGTCATCATATAGGTTTCTGAAAAGGAATTCATGAGAGGCATAAATATTTAGGGCAGGTGATCTAACCTCAACATGATATTAAAAAAAAGCTGGTACATCAACTCGATAATAGAAAAGAAAATTCATACCTTTTGCGGCACATGTCTAGCAGCAATACGTTCAGTCCAGTCTGTTTCTCCTGCATCCGGGTAAGTATATTCTGTACACACAAACAGTGCTCCGATGTGTAGGAGGCTGGCGCATCTATGGGAACCATGAAACTGTTGCCGTAATTCTCATAACCATGACCAGCAAAGTATAGCAAGCCTGCGGAAGGAGTAACAAATATGTGTTATCGAATTTGATGAAGTGTGTTGTCTCTTAGCTTAAGTTGGCATGGACACTTGGTCAGATTCTTAGTCTTTTTAGCTTATTGTTGGTAAAAAAGTATGTTTTAAATAAGCATGTAGTTAGTTCTACACTATATTTTATATTGTAAAAAAAAAAAGCTTTATGTAGAAAAACAGTGGTACTGTACATCTCTTTAAATTCTTTATTATGTAGGGGTAGAGCAGGTGTTTAGCCTATGTTGTAGACTTTAAAAGTAGAGACACACATATGATTCACGTTTTGAACACAGTGAACATATTGTCCAGATGGACAAGAGACCAACCATAGACTCCCTTGTCAAGCAGCAAGAGGAACTCTGTAACAGCGCTGTGCATCTCTTGCCAGTTGAGGTCGAGCAGGGAAACCACCTTGAAGTCCATTTGTCTGAGTAGGTTGGTCAACTCGTGGACGTCAGCGATGGGAGCACACAGCTGAGTGTGGTAGAGGTAGTTCATATTGCCAATCAGGAGAGCGACTTTGTCTGTGGCTGTGGAGGGGAAGATAAGGCATCATGAAAGAGCTGTAAAACTCAGAAAAAAATCATGTCAGCCACAGGTACTGTATTGTGATTGCACTGTGTTTATTTGTTTGCACAAAACTCGCCATAGAAATGCTTGACTGATGGGGGCGGGTTGACCATCTGTTGTAGCTGATGTAATCCTGGTCCGCAGGTCGACCTATGGACTTCCTTTGAGTCTGTCAACACCAATATAAAAAGGTGTAAATAAAAATGTAAAAAATGTTTTTGTCTCGTTTTAATTTCTACAGTGCTTAGTAACAACACAAACTGTACACATTGCTTTCTGTTGATCAGATGAGTCCACAATGAGTAAAACAGCATGATTTCAACACACACACACACACACACACACACACACACTCCCACACCCACACAACCTACAAATGCCAGCAAGCAGATTAGCTGCTTTGACACAGAAAGCCTTTCACTGATGTACTTACAAAAACAGGAATCAAAGTCGTATTGATGTACTCTAGTGATGCGGAAAAGAATAAAAAGGAACTAAAATTCTGGTCTAGTTCCTCTATTTCTTTCTATATACTATCAGAATAGAAAGAATACCTAGACCACGATCAACTTCTACCCAGGATGCCTCAGTGATGGAACTGGGGCCTGCATAAAAGTGCAAAAGAGGAAGTTATTCACTGCACAGTACTCGTGTTTTATTGAGCGTATAAATGTGCAATGTCCGACTTAATGCTGGTCTATCTTTTTCTCACCGACGGTGATCGTCGCTGTGTCACTCCAGGCCTCATGATACAAATTGAACATCTTGCACCTGTACTGTCCTCTGTGTGCTGTGGTCACACATGGGATCTACAGGGAATAAAAGAAGATATGGAGACCAAATTTGAGGATTAGTTAAATGTGTTTTGATTATAAAGTCTTGACACCTGCATTAGTTTGGTCTTACGTATCTCATATATGTCATACTTACGTACAAATATACCTTGATTTTTGTTTATATTATCCCTTTATATATCTATTGACTTGGTTTTTGGCCTTAGAAAAGTATTAAACCACAAAAAAAAAGGTTTTCTGAAATCATTGTTCTACACAGTCGGTAAGCAGTTCACAGCAGTGAATACACCGACTTACCTTGAGGGAATGTGTCTTGTGTTGTGTCATGGGCACCATGTTGTGGTACCACTCGTACTGCACAGGCGGGTTGGCCTCTGCACTGCACTCCAGGACCAGAGAGTCGCCCTCAGACACTGCTTGGGACTGAGGCTGACGAATGATATGCAGCCCACTCACTGACCCTGGAAACAGACTGCTGCTGCAGCCTGAGATGACAAGATTTACTAGGATGTTACGTCACATGGGATGAAATAAAAACAAGGGAAACAGGGAGACGAGAAGGAGGAGAGGAGGAGTACCTGGACTAGGACCTGCAGTCGGGACAAAGCGAACATGAGCCCACTGGGAGAAGATAAAGGTCTCTCCGTGGTGGACTCGACAGATATAGTGACCCTGGTGGGCCGGTAGTGAAGGACGCAGAACCAGCTCTGGTGTATTCCCTGTCTCATCCAAAATCTAAAACAAGCAAATCATCGATCACCACATGATATCACACGCGATAAACTAATCACCACATTATTATCCATATGATGTGAAGGTGGCACATTTAGCCGAAAAGTAACATAAATTGAGAACGCGCCACATTACTTGGGGTTTGACCTGAAATCCCATTGTTATAATTCAAATAATAAAACAAGGTTTGACTGACCTCCTCTTTGCCTCTGAACCACTGGTAGCTGAGTCCAGGGGGACCGGAGGCTCTGCAGGTCAATACCACCCTGCCCCCCACTGTGGACTGCTGGGCCTGTGGCTGCACTGTGATCTGGATCAGCTCTGCCACTACCACACACACACAACCACCCAGAAACACAGAAAATATATTTGTATTTAGATGTGGGGCATCACAGTGTAGCTACACATTTTATCAGCATCTAAATAAACTGAGCCATCACTAATGTGCCACTGTGGTGAATAGGGGTGCTGCAGCAATGGACACAGTATAAGAGAAACAGGGCAGACGGGACCAGTGCCCCAGTAATAATAAGTCTGGACCCCCTCTGGCCTCATAACTACGGCAAACATTTTTGCATATTTTTTACCCCACTTTATCCCTAGAAAAGGGGAAATTGTAATTATTCATAGCAGTGATAAAATGTACGTAAGAACTTAATGAGTATCATTGCGTTTATTGTTATATGTGTGTTCTTAGTCTTTTGGAGAACCAAACCTATGGGGTGATAAATGGACTGCATTTATATTGGAAGGTGCAACATGTTCCTCAGCAACGCTAAATATTCACAGCCCCAAATGGTCTAGAACCACCACTGTTTCACACACAAACACACAGCCTGTACACCTGGATTATGAACATTTGTTTAAGAAAACGTTTCACATTTGACAGACAAATACCAACAACTTAGACCATTTAGTTGAGCAGATTTACTAGTTTAGATCAAGGGATGGAAGTCTAAGCAAAGAATAATGTGGCACCCTGTTTGGAAACCAACCCAACATTATTTCAGATCCCTTGATTTTTACACTTAAAGTGGTATTTCCTAAAAAAAGGTTGTTTTTTCCACATTTGCATATGGCACCCCCCTCCCCCCCTGACAGTTCTTCCTCACATGTGCTGGTAAGGTACTGCGCAGCTTCCTGGTGGTCCATCTTCCTCAGGCAGTGCAGTAGGAAGTCCAGGGAGCAGGAACGGTCAGCAAGCCAAGCCAGGAGTGTGCGTCCTGGGCTGCCTGCAGTGCTCAGCACCTGCAGTGAGCAGCTGGTCAGCTCGCTCTCACTACACAGAGGGGGTACAATGGGCAGTGTTAGTCTGCTGGGGAGAGTTCAATGGGCCCAAACATGTTGTTTTTTTTGCAGGAATGTGCAGTATGATGGAGGGACAAACCTGTTTATCACACATGTCATACATCAAAGATAATCCCTATACTACAGGATGAAGTGTAAATGTTAATAAATTAAAGTGTGGAAATAATTTAATATTGTGTGGAGCGCGTCTATTAAGTGATGCCTTCGATGTCTCACCTGCAGCGGAATTGCGGCTGCTCGGACACAGCGGTGGCCAGCTGCCTCCATCCGCAGGTGGCGTTGTCCAACATCTTTGACAGCCTGTCCAGGACTTGTTCACCCAGACTACCGACGCTCATGTTCCACTCCTCCATCTTCGTATCGTGTATTCGTGTCTCCACAAACAAACCGAGAGCTCTACCGGACGAACAGGGACATCTAAGTGCAAATGTAGGCGCTGGAAGTGGTACACCACAAAACTACAAGTTGTAAACACAGGCTCGGGTTTAATAAAATAAATCCGCCCGTTAACGGTAACGTACGCACGCGACAGGAGATAGTAATCGCATTCAGGAAATAATCCAGGTAACAGCGAAAATGAAACGACGGACTGTGTTCAGACGTAATTAAACATCGCGACGTTATTATCTGCGCAGCCACTTCGCTTCCGCAATTAACAAACAGACATTTAACAAAGTCGTGAAGAAAACTTACCGACTTTACAAACAAGTAAACAGACCGTTGATCAAATATGAAGAGAAAGATCAACGAGTGCCTTTAACAGAGCTGCGCGGTGCACGTTTTCACCCCATCAGTGTTCTTCCAGTCTTGCTCCCCAGACGATTTGATTCTCATTTCGGTTCCTCATTTCTACCGTGGCCGGAGAGTCACGTCATCTCCGTTCAATACAGTAGACCGAACTGTAAAAAGTTGGGTAAAGTTGGAAAGAGATTCACAGATTCGGACTTCCCGGATCAATAACTTACTTCATTGGCATGCAGCGTAGTGTGACCAAACTCACTTCATCTATATATGGGCTCCTCTTGGTTATTCTACGCTTACTGTATAAAAAAAGAATATTTTGCATAATTTTGGAGAATTTTTGTTGGAACAAATATTCAAAACTTCATCTGTTATAAAGTGCAATGTGACCAAAATCACGACATACACCAATGATTATACTACAATGCTGACTTTTGGGAAAATGTGCCTTTACATAAAATAGAGGATTTTTTATTGGGGAAAATAATCAATAACTTCATTGATATGAACTGTGACCAAAATCACTTCATCTATCAATGGGCTCCTCTTGGTTATACTACACTTAGTTTGGTAAAATAAGCTCACAATTTAGGATAATTTTTATTCGGAAAAATATTCAATAACTACACTGTTATAAAGTGTTGTGTGACCAAAATCACAACATACATCAATGGGCCCAGTCAGCAGATGCTCTATCCTGGGCTGCTCTTGGATTCCCATGTGTGGAGGCGATATAACGGCTGACCCTACTCGTGGGGTCCACAGCCTCAGTGTGGGCGAGGAGTGTTATGTCTCCCCTTTGGGTTGATGTCAGCAGCCCACCCCGTGGTACGTCTGGGGCTGCAACACATGATGAATTTACAACGTTGGCTTGCACTTCTTCAGCTACATACGGTCCAAAAGGAACAACACAACTGGTTGTAGGCATGTGGTTTAGCTCCCTCCGCGACATCACTCTGCTGGAGCTCACAGCAGTGCAGAGAGTGCTGTACCACTTTGGTTCTCAAACGACGCTCACCCATTGGGGTGGACACGCTGGCCCACCCATGTTGGCCCCTCGGCCTGCTGTATGCCTTGCTGCCAGTAATACTGAAGATGAATCGGCTGGTCCACAGCATATGTCCGTGGTACTCGGGGCTCCAGAGAGTCCGGGTGCCAGGTGGTTCAAAGACCTGTCCTGGCTGGTGGTGGCAGGTCTGTGGCCGGTACTGGTCCGCTCCAAGGCTCTGTGGCTGGCAGGCGGGGGGGGGCGCCACATGGTCTGGAAATTGAGAGGGTGAGACTGAGCAGCCTGGGCCTCCAGACTGCGGTTGTTTCTACTTGTCATCCATGATCCTGCCTCCTGCAGGGCATTCTGGGTTTTCTACAGGGCCTGTTGTGTCTACTCTGGAGGTGTTAGCAGCAGCCATCACAGCGGGCCATGATGGCCTGGACCGCTTCACGGCCAGGAGCCAACCTCTGACCTCAAGTTATCACCTCTTCTTTCAGGTTGTACTTAAATGTATAGTTCCCTATTTTTCTAATCAATAATTAATTATAGTAATATATAAACATATACATATAAACATTTTATAAAGAGTGATTTATTATTAGAGTGGCAGCTACCACATTCATATTATGATGTTGTTTAAAGAAAGAATGAAAAGGCAAACTTTGCAGGACATTTACTTATTCCTATTTATTTGTGATGACTTAGCAAAAAGAAAAGAAAAAACATAGGGAACATGATAAGGCCATTTCTCTTCAGATATGGGAAAAAGACAAAAACAGAAAAAAAAGATTAACATGTACAAACTGATTCAGTGCAATGCAGTAACCCTGAACCAAATAGAACCACCTTTAGGAAATTGACAAAACAATCTCACCACTAAGTAGCGGTTGAGAGCTTTCGAGCATATCACACGATCTTTCAACTTTCTTTTAGCTTTCAGGTATTGTTACCAGAGAACCGTTGAATATGCTGCAGGATTTTAAATAACACACTGGAAGTGACAAAGAGTTGGTCGAATGAAGATTCATTCAGGAAGCTGAACTCTGGCTCTGAACATACAGCACGTCAGGTAATTCAGTCCACCGAGTCTGAAGCGACCTGACGTATGGGAAGAAGCCCTCCGTCAGTCCAGTGAAGGCCTAAAACTTCTTCCCTTTATGTAGTCGGTTGAAACGCAAAATGTTCTCCTTCCTCAGACGCTTCCAGTATTCCCAGGTGTCCGACTCCAGCTCCTGCAGCTTTTTGGGCATCCCCAGGTTCAACTGGAACAACCTGAGTGAAAGAAAAAAGGAGATGGGGATCAGATCAGTGGAGACACACACCAGCATCAATAAGTTAAACTTAGTCACCCAGTGATGTCAATAACTCAACATTGGATGCCTGAAAAAAAAAAATGGATTTACTGACATAAATGAGAACATAAAGTAACAATCCTTCTTTAAAAGATCTGCACAGTTTTCTGTTATAAAAGGACACATTTACTTGTTAATTTATATCTTGCTTTTCTCATAAGATATCTTGAAAAGTAGGAAAATACATTTTACAAAATGCAAAAAGAGTTAGTTCTAAATCTCCTCACCACTCTGGATATTGATCAGGGGGCTTCAGGTGGGGGTCGTCTCCTTGCTTGAGGATGTTGGCCCCTACTGCATAAGAAGTAAGTCTGACAGGGTCTGTACACACATCTGGGCCTCTGTGCTCTTCTTTCACCATGCCTTTCCCTTTCCCTTTGGCCACTGCAAAGAACGGGAATGAGAGATTTGTCATGCGAGTGGATTGAAAATAGAAAATAAGCCACTGACATTTTGTCATTAACAATGGTTTGAATGCATATGCAGACACAGGTTATTTAGGTCGGTGCACGAACAGTTATTGTATCGATAGAAAGGTAGATAGTTACTTTATTAAATGTTTTCGCTACAGCAGCATTTATAGATACAGGTAAAGCAATACAAATAACAGAGTAAAAATATGAAATATAAAAATGCACAATATATACAATAAAATAGAATAATATTAAATGAACCAACTAAACAATAGTACAAAGATTTAACCAAACAAACAAACAAACAAACAACAGCGTAACGGTGTTATAGTTGATTTGGCCAGAGGTGATTTATAACTACTAACAAAACAATTATCCCTTCTAAATCATAAACAGTGGAGAAAACTAACAACTCGACACATGTCCCATAACTACAACTAGTTTACAACTGGCACTGAACATGTATAATAGATAAGGTAACGTTAACGTGTCCTATTTACTCACCAACTTTCTTAGCATATCCACATGTCTGTATTCGGTTGAATACGTTCGTCCTGCACAGCGACGTTGTAGCGTTGCTTGTGATGCCTTTTGTTAACGTGGCTATCCTAAATAAACTATACCCTGACATTTTAAACTGCACTAGAAAACGCAGCCCACCTTGCTACGCAGTTTGACATTCATAGTTCCTTCAACTTCCGTTTCTCTGCTTTGTGTTTGGCTTCTGTAAAAGTATATACTGCCCCCCTCTGGACGGGCGGACGCACTGCAAGACGACGGAGACAAGTAGCCCTTCACACCGACAGGTGGCAGCACTGCGGTACGTGAGCCTGGTACGATAATAACACAACAGAAGAAGAACGATTTACGACTTCTAGAAGATGTCTGAGTACGCAGCGTCCCAGAAGAGTGCCCTGAAACTAAAAGGGTTAGGGAGCATTTCAGCTGGAAAAAAGTAAGTATTGTGCCATTTGGTTAAAAAAAAACGAGAAAGATGACGCTTTATAGTCCACAAAAACACGAACAAACAGTTGCATCTGACTAAAGCGCCTGGTATTCAGTCGAGGCTAATGTTAGCATTTTTGCTAATATAAAAACAGTGTTACGTTAATGTTTATTTGCAATAATTGAGTAGGTAACGATGAAGTAATATTTGGGCAAATTCATTATCGTAATAGCATCGAATAGTGGAAAACCAATGTGACGTTAATACTGTTCGCTGTGACGTTATGGAGTGTTACAGATGTGGCTAAAAACATTAGCTAACGTTAGCTACGTTAAAACCACACGGTGTAAACGCGAACAAACATAGCAAACACGTTTTGAAATGCATGAACAGACAGGCAGACACCATAACAACATAAGTATATATCTAAATCGGACAAGATTACACACACAAACGATTACCAGTTTGACTATACAGACCACTGTTTATCTTGTACCTGTATAAGTGATCATCTTTCTTTGTCCTCGCCTGTTGAAGGGGGTGATTGGCCTGGCAAAGCCTCTTATCAACTAACAGGCCATTACATGTCGTTTTTCAGGAAGAAGAAGAAGGATAAAGAGAGCAAGCGTCGCTTGGAGCAGCTCGCCACCGGTCAAAACGACGAGGAGGGGAAAAGCAACAAGACATATGCTGACAAAAGAACCCCGGCACAAATGGCCTTTGACAAGATGCAAGAGAAGAGGGTACGTTCTAGTTCTCCAGCATTAGAGCGCTGCAGTGATTGGCATAGCTATTGTATATATTTACTGTATAAGCCTAAAAGCGCTACCATAAGTCTTTACCACCACAATGCCATATTAGTATGAGGGTCCATACTTTGACACACAACCCAGCATGAACAAACCATTTCACACAAGTTGTCAGATTCACACAGAGGGGATGTTGTAATAATCATCAGTAAACACTAAAATACACATAAATCCAAAATATTTTTTGGATAAGAAACTTTCCAGGCTAACAGTTTGGCGATTTAAGATTTTGTGCTTTTAGCTTCACAACCAGCAACACTGCAGTGAAACCAAAACACATAACTTTCCGTATGGTTTGTCTATTAACTTATGTGCTGTTTGTAAACTTTTCTGTTCCACCAAAGTGCTGATTATTTTAGTATCACTGAGAGACTGTTCTTAACAAGGCAGAGTAATCCCAACCTGAAATGGTTTCAAAATAGATTTGTTAGCTGCGGTGTGGTTAATGATGTTTCACAGTCTGTGTATTAGTCCTCTCCTCATGTAAAGACAACGTTAATCTGTCTCTTTTCTACCCAAAGGTCATTGTTTGAAGTGAATGTTGCGACATAATGTATAGCGGTGCACACACACGGTGAAGCAGCGTAACATCTGCTGCACAAGAAGACGGGACAATGTTTGAATAAAGCACTTATTCTTTCTATGTTTAGAGTAGTTCCAGCTGCAGCAGGCCATTAGCAGGTTTTAGTGTGTGATTTGTTGCTAATGGCCATTTTCTTAAAAACCTCGGCTGTTTTGCCGTATCCTGATAGTGATGTTTCTGGAGGTGTTTGTGTATTTATTGAAGTTATTTTTGTAATCATTCTCTCTCTCTCCCTAAAGCAAATGGAGAGGATTTTGAACAAAGCCTCAAAGACACACAAACTCAGAGTGGAGGTGAGTCATGTCCAGCCTGGCATTGAGCCATTCACTCCAGCTCGAGTCCGCACATTTATCCATTTAAATTATTTTGGCTGATCAAAACAGTATTTATATAAATGTCATTTGAAATGAAAGATAATAAAATGTATGTCTATCATTTTACAGGATTTCAATCGCCACCTGGACACTCTGACGGAGCATTACGATATCCCAAAGGTCAGCTGGACCAAATAGAAGAGCAGTTGGTCCCTTGGTTTTGTTTATCACCTGTCTTGCGCATCAAATTTATTTCCTCGTTTTATATATTTACCTTTAAAATCCTTCAATTGTCACTTATGTTTTAATTTCTTGTGTATGCTATAAAGGATCTAACGCATATCTTGTGTTTCTTTGTCTTACATTGCAAACATCCACAGATCAGCTGCTAATACATTTAAAATGTGCGTGTGTAAAAAAAATATGAATTATGCAGAAACTATACAAAAGCTTTGTTTTTAAATGAATACATATTTTAATTGAACTGGTACGCTGAACAACTGGCACATATACTGTGAAACAGAGGTACAGTCGTCCAGGTTGAATCATTTGGGATGGCACAGTGTGAACATCTGAAGGTACCAACTAATAGTCAAAAGGTTTAAGACTTTATATAGTTGTTAAACAAATACACAAATTTTACACTTTGTGTCAAATGGGTGAATTCACTGTTTTAACATGTAACAGTGTATTACAGTGAAAGTTTAACACCAGTATGCAAAACAGTATCAGGATTCACAAAATGTGTATTAAGAGATGTGAAGTTCAGGATCTTAATGTTCGTTTCATACAGTTCAACCTCTTTCATTTAATAGGCAGGAGTCTTTTCTTAGACTAGAAAAGGTATTTTCTTTGTTTCTCGTGCTGTCAGAGTTCACTTTGGCCCCAGCATCTCGCTGGGCTTCACCCACTGGTCGAACTGCTCCTCAGTCAGGTAGCCCAGCTCCACGGCCACGGCCTTCAGCGTGGAGCCCTTCTTGTGAGCCGTCTTGGCGATGAGGGCGGCTTTGTCGTAGCCGATGTGCGGGTTGAGAGCGGTGACCAACATGAGAGACTCGCTCATGAGCTTGTTGATCCTCTCTCTGTTGGCCTCGATGCCCACCACGCAGTTGTTGGTGAAGGAGACGGACGCGTCCCCGAGTAGCTGCGCTGAGTTCAGCACATTCTTGACCATCATGGGCTTGAAGACGTTGAGCTCAAAGTGCCCGTTGCTGCCTCCGATGGTGACCGCCACGTGGTTTCCCATCACCTGGGCCGCCACCATGGTCATGGCCTCGCACTGCGTGGGGTTCACCTTGCCCGGCATGATGCTGCTCCCCGGCTCGTTCTCCGGTAGGATGAGCTCCCCGAGGCCCGAGCGGGGTCCTGACCCCAAGAAGCGGATGTCGTTGGCGATCTTCATCATGCTGACGGCCACCGTGTTCAGCGCCCCGCTCAGCTCCACCAGAGCATCGTGGGCCGCCAGAGCTTCGAACTTGTTGGGAGCGGTCACGAACGGCAGGCCCGTGAGAGAAGCCACGGTGGACGCCACCTTCTCAGCGAAGCCGATGCGGGTGTTGAGTCCCGTCCCGACCGCAGTGCCCCCCGCCGCCAGCTCGTACACCCTGGGCATAGCAGCCTTCACTCTCGCGATGCTGTACTTCACCTGCTGGACATAAGCGCTGAACTCCTGTCCGAGCGACAGCGGCACTGCATCCTGGGTGTGCGTGCGTCCGATCTTGATGATGTCTTTGAACTCTTCGGACTTGGCGGCCAGAGCGGCGTGCAGGGTCTGCAGGCCGGGCAGCAGGACGTGGTGGACCTCTGTGGCTACGGCGATGTGCATGGCCGTGGGAAAGGTGTCATTGGAGCTCTGGCTCTTATTGACGTGATCGTTGGGGTGGACAGGCTCCTTGGAGCCTAGTGTTCCTCCTAGGATCTCAATAGCTCTGTTGCTGATCACCTCATTAACGTTCATGTTGCTTTGAGTCCCAGATCCAGTCTGCCACACCACCAGAGGGAAATGATCATCCAGTTTACCAGCTGAAACCTCATCTGCTGCCTGGATGATTGCATCTGCGATCTTTGGGTCGAGGCCAAACTCCTTGTTGACTTCAGCAGCCGCTCTCTTCAGGATCCCGAAGGCCTTGATCACTTGGATCGGCATTCTCTCACTTGGTCCGCCTATTTTGAAGTTCATGGTGGATCTGACAGTCTGGGCACCGTAGTACTTGTCAGCTGGGACCTTGAGCTCACCAAACGAGTCCCGCTCGATCCTGTACTCTGAACTGGCCATTCTGGACGTGCAGACGTGGAGTTTGCAGTTGACGCTGCCTCTTTGTAAAGTCAGGAGGCTGCAGTTAAACTGCTGGACGCGTCTCAGAGAGCGAAACATGGCTTCTCACTAGAGGTGAATCCGGGGGGAGGTCAACGCAGCCCTTCCACTTTATGATCCGTCATTGGGTGGATAGGAAACGAGTCCGCGGGTCAGCCAATAGCGAAGCAACAAAGGCGGGTCTTCCGCTGTGTTCGTCGTATCGAATGGATACGATCAGGTTGCTCCATCCGGATCAGTGAAGCGTCTCACGACGTTGCAGGATTGTATATCCGGCATGACCACGAAGCATTATTTACTTTGTAGAATAAAAGTCAGTAACTTTAAATATTTTAATACATTCTTAATGTATCCATGTATCCAACAGACCAACTTTTTAAGAAATAATCTCTTGGAATAGAGTGAATCACAGTTATCTACAATGCCTTGAAAACTTGTTTATAGTTTCTATATGTACGGACCCCAGTTTATTTTCTGTTTTAATTCTTCCAATTTGTATATAATATTGTATAAACCAAATAAAGTTGCTGGGGGGATAAGTCAGTAACACCTGAAAGCATTTTTATGTTCTGAGTATACTATATAGTGCACAATGTTTGTTTATTGTGTGTAATGAGACTGGAATTTATGAAAGTTGATATATGTCAATAACATGAAGCCAACTGGGAACAGAAACCATACAAAAAATTAGGATTACTTTTTAATTCTAAGATGTAATGAATCTACACTCTTCAATACTAGTGCCGCAGTAGTACACGGTGAATTAGTACAAGTAGATATATACGGTGTACCGGGAAGCAAGGTGCTGGATTGAGTTTGCAAATGAGTTTGAAGAGTATATTCAAATGTTGAAGGTCCTACATCATGTGACACCTAGACCTACTTTTATGGTGACATTGGATAGAATTTTTAACTCATTTTGTGATGTAGAGATTGGTTTATTTTATAAAGGAATCTATTATATTGTAAGTTAATTACAAGATCAATGTTCATTTACTGTCTAGTTAGTTAATTTAATTATGCACTACTGTCCAGTTAGTTAATTTGCATTTTTTACACTTAATATTTTTTATCGAGTAGAAAATAATTTTATTTTGAAGAGTAAAAACGTTGTTAGACCGGAAGTGCCTTGTCCGTTGTTGCTATCTTCCCTCCGCCGTCTCTTCTCGCGGTAACGTTAGTACACGGTTAGCTTTGCTAGCTAACGCCATCGTTTCCAGGTTTCGTGTCGACCTGAAAAAAACAAGCAAACGAAGAGAGAGGCACAGAGAGGCGACGCAGCCGAATACTTTTTAAACCCCAGGCTGCACTGAAGAGCGGGACAATGCCACACAACTTCCAGCCCGGAGACCTGGTCTTCGCTAAAATGAAGGGGTACCCCCACTGGCCAGCCAGGGTAAGCAAGTAACGTTAGCAGCAGCCGGAGGGGCGGAGGGGATGAGCTGTTGTGTATGGGTTCTGTATGGCTGGAGAAGGTTCTGTGTAACATGGAGACCTATCACACACATACACTACTAGATATTATTGTCGGGCTGACATGTTGTGTGCTTCAGGCCCACAGGCACAGTGCACGAGCAGCATCATTTGCACGAGATGCTGTTGGCCTGTCGTTAAACTGCAGCGAAGCTAACGTTATTTTGGAAAATGACGTTGAAGATAATTGCAATTTTTGTCCCCCTCTTCTAAACATAAAAGATACCACACGTCCATACAATTTTTAATCAGTTGAAAGTTGCAATGTTTTTGTTTTCTAGAGATAATAAACAACAATACATTCTAGCATCACGTTTGGGTCCCATGTTGTTTTTATTTTATTTGCCACTTGTTTTGCAGATTGAAGATGTGGCTGATGGGGCAGTGAAACCACCTCCTAATAAAATCCCAATTTTCTTCTTTGGGACACATGAAACGTGAGTACAATACTGTAATTACCAGTTGTTTAGAGAAATAAGTCATTTGTATGCACAGACCTGTTAACACTTCAATGACTATAAATGGAATTAACTTTTTATCCATTTAAAAGGAGGACATTTAAATACCAAGTTTGCTGAAATTCACGACTCAAGTGTTTTTTTTTTGGTAAGGCATAGTTGAAGGGACTGTGCTGATTTAATATGTAGGACCTGGCCTCACCTGTTTGTTTGCATGATATACTTTATCATGACACAGTTGCTTGTCAGTCTCCTCTTCTAAGCTTTATTCTTCTCTGAAGGTTCACTGTTGACCGTTGACTTCCTTCAGTCTGAGTGTGCAGTATGCTTTTGAGAGATGTGTTAATATGTCTGATCTGGCATCAGACGCCATCTGTTTGACAAGATGGCACCTGCAGTATATAAATCCATCACTAGGTGGCACAGTCTGCTCTTTCAAAGGCTCCAGTCAGTGGAAAGGGTTAACCTGATTATTTTTTAGTGATAATATAATAGTTTTTAGTTATTTTGTCAACATTTTCTTTTATGTCACTGTTCCGCAGAGCATTCCTTGCAGCAAAGGACCTGTTTGCCTATGAAAAGTACAGCGAACGCTATGGAAAGCCCAACAAAAGAAAGGGATTCAATGAAGGTTTATGGGAGATCCAGAACAATCCACATGCCTCCTACAGTGCCCCGCCTGCAGTAAGTTGCCCTGATGTCAATAATCCTAAATCCCAAAGTACCACAGTTCAACATTAACTCTCTTAAAGATACTGTAAATATGGACTTTGAAGTTAAATCAAGGTGTGAAACCTGAAGGTATTTCCTAGCCATTCATGCTCATTTAGTGCTAAATAAATTGGATTTTTATTTCCATTGTTTTAGAACTCACATGCAGGTCTCTGCTAGACAGTAACTTGTGAAGCGGTTTGAATAACCTTGGTGTTGAAAGGTACAAATGAACTTGTCTTGTCTTTTTATTAAAATGCTGCAGTTCAGACTAGGGCGTCCCGATGCCCAGCAGTTTAAGGTGTGACGCTTACTGCAACATTTAATACTCAATTCTTACCAGGGAACTTTGCTGCATCTCTGTCCCCATGTTTAATTTCACTCTCCATGGCTGTCAAGGAAAGGTAAAATGTCACAAAATTTGTATTAATCTTCCAATGTTTCATTTTTTGCAGCCAGCCAGCTCATCTGACAGCGAGGCCAACAATGCTGGAGGAGGAAGTGACGAGGAGGAAGATGAAGAGGAAGTCCCGGTGCCTCAGAAAGTAGAGTCAGCGAGCGATGTGGACTCCGATTCTGGGAGTGAAGACCAAGGAAAGGGTGCAGGAGTGAAGCGAAAGCCACCACCTGCTAAGGTAATTGACATTTAGTTTGCAACACCCCTTCAACTAAAACAGGCTTTTCAGTGACCCGGGCCAATAAAGCTTTCACCCATTAGATCACGCTATAACTATGTCGTTGAGCGGAATTCAAAATAGACTTCTTGGTCACAATTGTGAGGTACAAAAGAGCTGTACTTATCACACTACGTTAGCATAACAGTTAGCAATGCTAACTGTTTGACAGGTCCGATTATTTGGCTGAAACAATCGACTATGTATGAAAAAGAGCTTCAGTTGTTGTATTTAAATGCATGTGTTGTTGTTGTTGTTGTTTAGCGGCCTCCCGCTCCAAAAAAGGCTCGCGGCTCATCCAGCGACCGAAACGAAGCGGAGAGTGGATCCCACTCTGAATCCGAACCCACGCCCTCAGAGTCTGACTCTGGCAAGAACAGTGACCAGGTTATTACACACATGGATGCACACAACATGGTATGATTGTTGGTTGAAACTTCAAACAGCCCATAAATGTTACTCGTTTGTTTTCTCCCAACAGGATTTTACTCCAGAGAAGAAAGCTGGCGGACGGGCTGGAAAGAAAGCAGCAGGCCAAGGGAAGAAAAAGGTGAACCATCAGCCCCCTTGCACATTAAAGGTTTTCATGATTATTTTTTCATTTATCTCCTCCCCTTTCTATCTGTAATGTTGCAGAAGACTTCGTCTGGCTCAGAATCAAACTCGGGATCCGGGTCAGAGAAGAAAGCAGTGGACAGCGACTCGGAGGACGAGAAGCCGCGGCCGGCTCTGTCTGGCTCTGAATCCCACTCTGCCTCAAAGTCTGAATCAGAATCAGATCCACCGCCCCGGAAGGCCCCACAGGCACGCAAAAAAGGTGTGGGTTCAGTCCTGTCTCAGATTGGATTGATCGATGTCGTGTGATATTGAAGGAAAGATGACATGCTCTTCGTTTTGCTCGTGTAAATGTGCTCACTGCTTCTCCCCCCCCCCCCCACAGAGAAGCCAGCACCAAAGCCTCGTGCACGGAAACCCAAACCTCCTCCGGCAAAACGAGCACCCTCATCCTCCTCCGACAGCGACAGGTCAGGCTGCTTCGCAGATTATTTTTCCTATTGATGCCCCACATTATGTATGTATGTATGTATGTATGTGTGTGTGTGTGTGTGTGTGTGTGTGTGTGTGTGTGTAATATGTAATGTGCATTCTGAGGAGCATAATGGTTGCTCTTTTTTTTTTCCACAGTGACACTGACCGCATCAGTGAATGGAAGAAACGAGACGAGGAACGCAGACGAGAGCTGGAGGAGCGCCGGAAAAAGGAGGAGGCAGAGGAGCTCCGCAGGCTACGCGAGAGGGAGAAGGAGGAAGACGAACAAAAGAAGAAAGACAAAGATAAGAGTAAAAAAGGGAGCGACAGTGACGGCAGCAGTAGCTCAGATGAAGGTGTAGACGAACACCCATTGAAGAAGTCCAAGAAACCTCCTCCACCCCCGATCCCTGCTCCCTCGGACTCTGATTCTCCAGCACCATCTGAGGTACAGATGCTAAAAATAACAATGTTTTACTTTTTGCTTTATTCAGAGTAATAGGACTGCAGGTGACTCTCGGTGCTATTGACACATGGGACTTCTTGTGCTTTTTCTCATCTAAAGTCTAAGAAGTCATCCAAGAAGCCCAACAACCAGAAGAAGGCCAGAATAAAGAAAGAGAAGGAGAGAAAAGACCGGAAGGAGAAAGAGCTAAAAGAGAAGAAAGCCAGGCGGTCAGAAGAGAAGTCTCGGGCGAGGTGAGTCCACAATGGGGGAAAAGGCTATGGCATGCAAAACTCATTAGAAGAGCCTGATTAATATTGAATGTACACAGATCACAGAGTTCCCCCTCTCTCTCTCTCCCTCCCTCTCTCTCTCTCCTCTCAGGTCTAAGCCTGAAAAACCCAAACGCAAACCAGAGAGGCCGCCAGAGAGGAAAGTGGAAAAGAAACGGGGTAAGTGTTTCATACAGTCGCACTGTGCAACAGGTGAACAGATTAACACAAAGATCAATTATGAAAGTATTAATTCAGCACAGAGTCATGACTCTTACTTTGTGTGTCCGTATGCAGAGCCGTTGCCAGAAGAAAAGCTACAGAAACTTCACAGTGATATAAAGTTTGCACTCAAAGTGGACAACCCAGTAAGTGACATCTATAATTTTCATACAGTTTTCCATTTGTCTTGTGTTTTTAAGCCAGCAATAAAAGTGAAATATTGTGTCTTTGTAGGACATAGACCGGTGTCTACAGGCCCTGGATGAACTTGCAGCTGTGCCCGTCACCAGCCAGATCCTCCATAAGAACGCTGAAGTTATTGCCACTCTAAAAAAGGTGCATTTTCTTGACTTGTTGGACTCTACTTCTTATTAATGTTTGTAAACTCATTTTACATTCGTCAGAATATCACTGTTATTTTCCAGAAATAACTCTTGTGTAGTGGGGTCTCTGGAGGTTACCAGTAGTATTTATGACTGTTGGATAATACGATGATCCACTGCTTAATTCTGCTTCTCTGGTACAAATACCAGGACACGATATAGTCTGCCATGTCTGCTGTGTTTTTTGTAATAACTCCTTATAAACATGTGGTTACTTTACTTTTCTAGTTTTATTGATTTTCTTGATTGTATTTATTCCTTCAAATGTGCATTTACAAGATGTTAAATGTGGTATATAGGCATACCTTGTTGTCTTATAATCAGGGTTGTCAGAGCAGGACAGTATTTATTTTTCATTTAAATGATCCTCGTTATTTGCAGCTTCTTTCATGTTTTTCTGGGTTTTTTTTTGTTATAGATCCGGCGGTATAAAGCCAGCAATGCAGTCATGGAGAAAGCTAGTGAGGTCTACAACAAGTTAAAACTTCGCTTTATGGGAAAGTTGGAGGTGGCAGCTAAACCTGAGGACAAGGAACCAGAAGATAATGAGAAGGAGACGAAAAACACAGGTAAGAAGTCCCACCTTGGATCCTGTCTCCATCTGGTTTGATATTATGATTTTTGATATATTTTTATTTGTATTATCCTTATTTTAATCTACGTTCATATTTTTCTAGACTCCGCTCCGGTGAATGGGGACTCAGAACAGAAAAAAGATGATATGGAGGAAGAAGAAAATCCCAAATCACCTGCCCATGAGGAGAATAATGAGGATACTGCTTCAAGTCCAAACAGGTAAACACCCCGTGTGCATCTTTGCTCTACATGTAATTGTCATGGGCAGCTAACATTAGAAGATAGCAGATCCTGGTACATGGACAATAAAAATAACAGGCATCTCCCTAGAAAAATGCTTATTACGGTTATGGTGGGACCTTATATACAGTCTATGGGTGGGTACCATATCCTGACTATGACGAAGCTCATGTGAGCATCCTCTCTTTAAATATACAAGTAAACACAATTCAAGCACAGCAGTGGTTGTGACTAATTAATGTACTCTGTTTAGACGAAGCCCAGACAGCCCTGCTGAACCAAACCTTCACACGCATGAAGAAGCGGACAACTCCCTCTCTGCAGAGACAGAACCACCTGCTGTAGAAAGCTGAAAGACCTTAAACCACCTCTGCTGTGGACCAAGTGCTAAAGATGGTAGCCTCCTAGTTTGACGTCATACAGTGCTCCTGGCCCAACAACATCGCAACACACACACACACACAGCGTTTCCTACAGTATCTGTTACGTCACTGTTGATGTTTTGGATATTTTGTACCATAATGACATCAAACCAGAAGGCTCTGTCGCTCAAACTGTTTGGTCCATTATTTATCACGGCAAAAAGGAAAGCTTATTAGTGTGGTAGTCTCTGCGCAAACTCCTTTTTATTTCTGAAAATGTCCTTTTTCTTTTATACAACACTCGGCCCGTCCTGGATCTCTTCACCCCTGTACTACTGCTTCTGGCTACCTTGTTCTTTCTACCACATGAACTCCTATTTTGATCTTTTACACTGTATGTATATGGAATGATTACGTTTTGAAGCACTTCTGACCGGAATTTAGGCTGGGGTAGTATGAGATGAAACTTCAATAATTTTCATGGGAAAATGGAGCCATGCTGTTAGTTTTTTCGCTTGGAAGATTTTGTGCAGCCCTTACATCTGTTGGCTTCAATTTTTTTATAAAGTCTACAAAATATCACAAAGGCCTCTTGTCTGTGTATGACATTGTGAGAGTGGTAAAGTACTATTTGTGAGTCTTTTATGTTAAGTATTTTTTTTTTCTAATTATCTGGTCTTGATCCAGTTAATCCAGTCTGAATTGTAAAGCCATTAACTAAGTCACATAAAACTGTTTTACAACTGAGGTCCACCTACGTTTTTTATAGCCTTGTTTGCAAATATTGGCATTTACAGTTTTGTCTAAAATAATAATTGCTGTGGAGTTAAACACCTTGCACTCTCGTCTCCCCATAGTGTCTGCTTTCAGTAACTTGCTTATGTTAATAAATGGAATAACTGTACAGATTGAAAACTGCCCTTAAAAGCTATTGAGATCTCTTGTAGCTGCAGCCTATTTTGACATTTTCCTGTCATAAGCATACAACAGGTGTTTTTAGTGCTATGTAAATTGTTAAAGCATTTCTATGACTTAGTTGAGACTTGAATAAAAATCTCAGCATGGTTTTGTTTCTATCTCAATTCTTAATTAATTTGCTCTATTTGTATAAAATACTGTTTTAAAAACCACAGCATCTCCATTTCGTTGGTTATTTGTGGTTTTCTGTTTCTAAATGATTTGTCAACCTTCTTATTTGTGATACAACTCCACTGACTTGCTAATGACCGTGGGGCTCATTCACAGAAGTTACCTGCCAATATTATGAGAAATTACCACCAAACTAACAGCTCTTTCATTATTATTTAATATAGTTTGTTCGTTTCAAATGTACGGTGTCATAAAACATTGTTGCTTCTTGTAAACAGTGGGACTAGACCTTTAATTCCACTGATTCCCATCTGGGCAGTCTCGCATAATACTCAAAGTCAGCTGACTTAAGACGCCATTTTGTCAGCCATTTCCTCCACTGATCCATCGCCAGCGTCTCTGTCCCGGCCTCAGCTTCATCTGCCCGGGCTTTGGTAAACAGCAGCAGACCGTCCTGCACAACACACGGTACCCGGGTGGATGAGAGACAGTCTAGAGGGTCGGTCGGTACCCATTAGACCTCTGGAAGGCGCTTGGCCCCGCAGGACAAGAAGTGGTCCAAGTCACAGGCGAACATGGCTCTGAAGATTGTCAAAGGGAGCATCGATCGGATGTTCGATAAAAACCTTCAGGATTTAGTACGTGGCATCAGGAATCACAAGGAAGATGAGGTAAAAAACAACAACGAGCAAAACGCTGTCACCTGAAATATTTTAAACCTTACATTCATTAAGTTTTTTTTAACTCAACACAAGAACCGTTATCGCTGAGCAGCTAGCTAACGTTAATAGCTAACGCGCTAGGTTAAGTTAACGTTAGGTTAGCTGGCAGGCTAACGATAGCGTCAGCTAGCTAACAGTCACTTAAAAACAGTTTTCAGCATCTAACGGTTATTTAACGTTTGTTTAACGTTTGTTAAATAACCTGTTTGGGAGTGCATGATGTTGCTAACTTTGTAGTGACGTTACATGTAAGGTTTTTAAGCTAACGGTTGTTGCTGACAGCTAGCAAAACCTAGCTAGCTAACTGTCAGACTAACTGTTATAGAGGAAGCAGCTCGATAGTTTATCACAATTCATCAGGATTAATATACTTTTGGGAGATCACGCCAGAGAGTACTGCTGAATGTGAGAACCATCTCTCCATGAGGCAACCACCGCTAACTGTATCAGCTGTTGGCCTTAAATGACTCATTCATTATGGGGAGAAGTATCCAGATGATCTCTCTCACTTAACGGCTATGTGAGTTGAGGACACCACAGTCACTAAGTGTGTTGTATGCATGACGTGATGCTCTGAAGTCCAGAAGGTAAAAGAGGCCTAACTTGTCTTTCTGTGCACATCACACTTAAACATGCAGATACGACCATTCTGGGTGTTTTTATAAATAAAATTGCATCTTCTATGAATATAAATAAGTCAACCAGCTCAGTTTTGAAACACCCCATCAGTGACTGAAGGGGAGCTCATCCCTGTCACTGCTATGTGTGGGTGATGACAGACAGGCTCATCACAGCAGCACCTAGACCCAGCTCAGTGGGAGTCAGGTGGGATGGGCCAATAGAGGGCACTGTTTTGGGAGGCAGCCATGTCTCAAGCTCTCACATCAGCCTGCTCTTCTCTTGAGCTCTGTGTTGGCTTTGTCTGACCCTGTTCCTGCTGGAAAACATGGTAGTTGGAGGAGAGAGGGTTAGGGGTATATAAGGTGGGTTCCCTGGGTTGTTGTTGCACGGAGCTGCGGTGCTGTGCACACCTGTCTCGAGCTGTATGTCAGGTGTGAAATGTAGAGGTAGCGTGTCTAACCCGAGGGCACCTTTTGGATTTTAGGACCCTGCCTACGTGGCAGATTTGTCCTGCTCACCATCTCACCTGAATACCAATTTACAAGCATTTTAGGCTAAACCACTCGATGTAATCATCTATATATACACATTTCTCTTGATTATTATGTCATCCACATTTGTATCTTAATAGTTTTTGTCAACTTAGATTGCTTGTTGCTCGAGGCTATCCATGCTTGATCTCTTGATTCAGTGTATGAGCTGAGATGTTCACCAGATGTAACCCAACCTGGGCAGCCTAGATAACGTGGTGGTTGCCCAGTCAACAGTGGACAGCTTGCTGAAATATTAATACGCTGTGAGTGTGTGTACGTGCCTGAGTGTGTGTTGACGTTTTCCTAGTCAGCCCACAGTTTGTTTTTCATGTGTGTACCGACTCCCTGTGTGGCTCATTCATTCACTCTCCCTCCCACGCCTTTGGAACAGCCAGCATATTGTAGGAAGGGTGTGAGGATGACCTGATGTGTCATTCTGTGAGATTAGTTATTGAATTTTAGGTATATTTGTCATTGATGTCTGTTAAAAACAACAACAACAAAAGGTGTAGTGCTAGTTAGCTTCTCTCATCCTTTTGTCTTCCAGTTATCTTCAGCTCAGTCTGCATCAGTGGCTCATAGATTACCTTTCTAACTATTTAAGTTATTTCAATGGGTTTTGAAAGTGTGACGCAGAAGTGCTGTGTGTATGTCACAGCTGCTCCACAGTTTCACCAGGAGCAGCATTAGCAGAGCTCAGCCCCCCCCCCCCCCTGCTGTCACTGTGCTGTCTCATGACTGCACACACATGACCAGCACACACTCACACTCTACAGAGCGATATGTGTGTGTTTGTTTTTGCAAGGTTGCCCCTCTCAACAATGGTTGACTGATTGCTCTGTTTAGAGGTCTAACTGAGCTTGCCCTCCACTGTATTTAAGCGGGATCAAGCCATCAGGCCATTGCAAGATGAAAAATCTCAGACGAGTGGTGTGTGTATGTCAGTATTGTCTATCGGGGAAGGAAGTGTTCTTGGTCTACAAGCCACAGCCACATGCCATGTGATGTTTCAACTGTGACTTGGCACAGGGCCTCAAAATTATGTATTTCAGCACTTGGCATCACTTTATATCTAACCCCAATGACTCGTGACTTGAGTTTGACTTACGACTTAAAGCCCAGAATTAAAAGAATTCGGCTGATGCCAGAAGCATATTCAGAGACGCAGCCTGCGTAATACTTCAATAAAGTCCAGGCCTCCTCTGCCGACTGGCGCATTGCAACAACAGACAGACCAGGGTTTTTCCAGCTCGTTCCTGGTGCCTTAGTAGCAGTCTCCCTCTCCGGATATCACTTCACCTAATCTGATCTGGTGTCTGTTGTTTGTCCTCTCCTTTTGTCTGCCCTCAGGCCAAGTACATCTCCACATGCATCGATGAAATCAAACAGGAGCTCAAGCAGGACAACATCGCTGTCAAAGCCAATGCTGTGTGCAAGCTCACCTACGTAAGACCTCTCGAAACCTTCCACAGAATCACTGACTCGTTCTGTCTTTCGTGAATGATGAAGTACACCATCACTGTTTAGTTCTCAGTGTTAGCTGACCTGTGTTTCTTTGGATAGACACACACACACACACACACACACACACACACAGAGACCATGTGGCTGCTTTGGGGCACAACTCGCATAAACACAATGCCGGTCTTTTATTCTCACAGCATTATCAGCTTAATCAATTCAATATTCAACCACCAAGATTAATAAATAAGAAAACTAATCAAACAAAACGGATATACTTTGAGTCATAAGAATGTGGTTTGTATTTTGACTTTGAAGCAGATAAGAAGTATATTCTTATTTACGTGTATGTCTTAAGTTAACTTAAATGCCAGCTAGGGAAGATTTCATGCTCTTCAAATGTGGCATGTTGCATTAATACATTTTTATAAAGCAGGTACAAGACTGCATGTACAAATGTTGTTTTGTAGCTGAAGGTTAGTCAATATTACAGCCTAATAGCTTGTAGCCAGCACTTGTTGAGAAAAGTGTGCAATTTCTGTTTAAAAGAAAGCATTCATTCTATTTATAGCCCAGGCTCACATTTAGGTTTCGATGGCTTTTTGAAACTGGGGATCTGCGCCCGCTTTCAGCTCAAATAATTTAGCCTCCCTCTGCACCTCAGCATCAGCTTCGATCCCCCCGTCGTCCTCCTTTTATTCACCCACATCCCTCTCCGTCTCTTTTCCTTTCTGTTCTGTACAGCTTCAGATGCTGGGCTATGATGTCAGCTGGGCCGCTTTCAATATCGTTGAAGTGATGAGCTCCTCCAAGTTCACATACAAGGTAATGATCGGACGTATTGGAAATGCAGAATCATTAAACCTGGTCACTTAATGGATTAACGGTCACGATGCTATGACTGATTGGTACGCCCAAGTGTAGTTTTGTCAGGAAATTGAATACATCTCACAAGCTGTCCTTTTCTGTACCATTTTAGTCAATTTCTCCACATACATACTCAAAAATGTGCTGCTGCTGTAGACCTCCATGTAATTCTTTCTGCTTTCCTTTTTTCCCTACAGAGGATTGGCTACCTGGCGGCCTCGCAGTGCTTTCACGAGAGCACTGATGTGATCATGCTGACAACCAATCAGATCCGAAAGGTCAGTGCTTCCTCTGGCGCACTATGAATATCTTTCGACTTTTTTTTTTTTCTCCCCATCCCTCGACCAACCTTTTTCTTTTTTTCCTCTTCCAGGATCTCAGCAGTCCCAACCAGTATGACACAGGTGTCGCCCTCACCGGCCTCTCTTGTTTTGTGACCCCTGACCTGGCTCGGGACCTGGCCAATGACATCATGACACTGGTGAGTCACGGAGAGTATGTAAAGAGGTTTACCAACAAGTAGTTTAAGCTCTTTAGTTTTCCTTTTCTGGCTACAGTTAGCTTCCCTCGTTAACTCCTCCTGGGTCTTTATTTACCTCAGAACTTTCTGTCAAGAAGAAGATTTATTCCTTTTTCTACTTTGAACACAACCGTCTCCGCTGTCTTTACTTTTTTTTTTTCCCCGCCCTAGATGTCCCACACTAAACCCTACATCAGAAAGAAAGCGGTGCTGATCATGTACAAGGTGTTTCTGAAGTACCCAGAGTCCCTGCGACCCGCTTTCCCCCGGCTCAAGGAGAAACTGGAGGACCCAGACCCAGGTACTGGGACAGATGCTGCATTCAGTCTGTTATGCAGCAAGCTTGTGCTCTGTCACCTGAACCCTGTGAATTATTCAGCAACTAAGAATATGAGATTAAGGAAGGCGCCTTTGTGATACCGCCACGGCTGTCTGGGAAATATTCAACAACTCAACGGGACTATTTCTGATGTGCAGACAAAAACATCTCAAAGGGCATTTATCTGACTTCATGGCATGTGACCAGGACCGTTCCAGCGGTGTCACACTGTGCATCAGTGAGACAATATTTACCAGCCTGAGATTCAGAGAGGGCTTTGTTGTAAAAGCTGCTTTCAACTGATGTCAAAAGGATATTTCAAATGTGATGCGAGGTGAAAACAGACAAAAAGCTCCTAAATAGATTTTATACATTAAAATGTTTTTTCTTTGCCTTTGTTATATTATACTGCTACAATATCGCACATCATTGTTTTGTAGCCATAGGTAATTCACCACAACCCCAATAAACACATCAAATAACATTTTTTCTTTGTTTAGGTGTCCAGTCTGCAGCAGTAAATGTTATCTGTGAGCTGGCTCGGAGGAATCCCAAGAACTACTTGTCTCTGGCCCCACTCTTCTTCAAACTCATGACCTCATCTACTAATAACTGGGTTCTCATTAAGATCATCAAGCTGGTGAGTCAACAGGATACAGGGAACTTGAGTTTCTGGAGTGCTGATGAATTATTACATCAGGTCTTAAATGGAGCTGCCATGCTCTTTGTTAGCATGGATAAACAGCCATGGCTTTGTGTGACACTAGCAGTATTGCAGCAATCATACAGGGAGAAATCCATTTAAAAAGAGGAATTGATACTAGTTCCTTCACCAGCATTAGAGGTTGCATTGCTGAGCAAGTTATATTTATGAGAGCAGAAGCACCACTTTTTTTGTGTTGTTAAAAGTCACATGCAAGTAAATTATTGCCCATTTTCACAATAATACTCCTAAAAAGACAGTTTAAATTGATCAAAAGTTTAAATTCTTCTGTGAGACGTAATCTACTGCATGTCATGGCGCTCCTTGTTTGTTTCACAGTTCGGTGCGCTCACTCCTCTGGAGCCGCGGTTGGGGAAGAAGCTGATCGAACCTCTGACCAACTTAATCCACAGGTGAGATGAAATCCCTGAACAATAAACTGTTTCACAGTGGGTAAAAGCTGTTTGATCTGACGGGTATATCAATAATAATCTGTCCTCTCTCACAGTACCTCCGCCATGTCTCTGCTGTATGAATGTGTCAACACCGTGATCGCAGGTCAGTACTTGTATTCAACGTGTGCAATGTAGTGGTCTCATTCATTTATTGTGTGCTTTTGCTCTATTTCAGTCAAGTAAAATCCACGTCTTCAAACTTGTTTTTTTTCTTCTCGCAAGATGTTTTAGTTTACATTCGGCTCTAATTGCTTATTTTGTCCCCCGTGCAGTGTTGATTTCCTTGTCCTCTGGGATGCCTAACCACAGTGCTAGTATCCAGGTAAGCCTCTGAGGTCCACTCCTCATTTCTTGTGGTTAGATATTGTTGTTGATCATAACCTGTTCCAACCCAGTCGAACCACAACGCATGCTTTCACCATGTTTCTTTCTGTTTCACAAGTCTGTCTGTTCCAACACGTTTAAAGTAGAGACACAGCAACTATAGGACAAGCTAGCAGGTCTCATGTGACAGTAATGCATGAACAAAATCATTTTGCACCATTGAATATAAGCCCCATTTCTCCCACTTTTGTTTGTCTCCTTTATGATTTCTATGACAGAGACTGAAACTGGTGTAGAAAGGTTAACGGGGATCTTAATGGCTCTCTCCTTCTCTCCCCCCCCCCTCCCTTTCTCTTGCTCTCTTTCTCTGTTTCAGCTCTGTGTGCAGAAACTGCGAATCCTGATAGAAGACTCGGACCAGAACTGTGAGCCCTCTGTCAATGCCTGCAGTGTGTCATTTTCTCATTGTCTGCGTGTTTCTGACTGGAACAGTCCACCCTCTTAGACCACGATAATGTAGACCCCCTGACTCTAGATAACTCGAACCTCATGATAGTCCCTCTCTCAATTAGGGGGCCTGCTTAGAATACCATTTCCTTAAAGTCACTCGAACCCTTTCACACACAAATCCTGTGTACGACGCAGAAAGGGAACAACTTCCTTCCTACACTCCCTTGCACACTTCCAGTTGAAGCTGAGAATACTGCATCCAGCCATTCGAGTTATCTGGACATCCATACATAGATAGCTTTGTGTGTGCAGTAGACTATAGACCTCCGATGTTAATAGAGCAGACTGTGGACCTGTGGTTTTAGGTTTTGTTTATCCTTTTACCGCACCTCATAGTCATGCTTTAGCTACGGCACTTTCAAATACATTGATAAGTTAAGTAGGTGAAAGATCACAGCTTCCCTAGATTTTGAAGATATCTTGCTGATAGAATCAGGAAGTGACAAAACTAAAGAAGGAAGAGGCCATGTTGGAAGTCAACATTTTATATGCGAGCAAAATATATAGCATTAGATGTATTGCAGTCTACTAAAACGTACGTCTCTGTTTTAGATGCATTGTGTGTTGATGCAATAGTCAGTCTCACATTTTATCACATTGTGTCCTGCACTGACCAGGCTCACCCCCCCCCCCCCCCCCACCCTCCAAGGTCACTACCACATGCACACACTTATTGATCCAAAAACCTGAGAGGCTTTTGTCTTTGCTAAATTAGATGATAGACGGAAGGATGTGATTCAGCAGATTTTTGAATTGTTAGAACTTCATTTGGTGAGTAGGAACAGCTGCCGAGGGTTCGACGGAGGATGAAGCAAAACAAAACTACCGTGTCCAGTGTGTGTGTCTGTGTTGTACCGTGTGTGATTGTGTGTCCTTTCCATATTTCTGTTTGTTTTGTGTTCTTTCCTTTATGATATTTACTTTGTGTCATTTCCATATGTGTTTATAGATTATTCAATCTATAACACAACAGTATTTTTTCATAGTATATTAACATATAGATATTTTTTAGATACAGAAAGTTTGGCCTGACAGAGTGACTAGATTTAGGGAAGTGCAGTAGGTTAGTAGTAGTAGTAGTAGTAGTAACTGAACTTATTTGAAGAAGTAGTCAAGTTTCAAAATCGTTCTCTGTCCTCTGGAAACAAAGGATTTCTGGAAAAAATACTTTTTCTACCACCAGGTATTGTATTGATTCTCTAACTGCAGTCAAGTAAGGATAGTCAGTTTTATAAATAATAGAAGCTTGAATAAGAAAATATAACAACATACTTAATTGTTAAAGTGGCAATCCTCAAGATATCAGTCCTGGTTGATTTGGTGACACCCTATTTACGGTTTGTAACAGCAGATACTACAGGTCCCAGAATAAAGGGGGCAGCGAAACAACTTGATTTTAATAAAGAAGCTGGGCAATAATTGGCCTTTTTTAAATTGCTCTGTTAGCAACTGCGATCCGATATTTATTTTGCTGCATGAGTCTGTGAAAGTGAGAGTAGTTGGTTACCTCACTGAGAACTTCCGAGGTGTGCAGCCTGTCTCTTACAGCTCTTCATCTCACAACTCACTGAGGCTGATCCTTCTTGTGTTTCTCAAGTTAAATGCTTTAAAGGTAGAGCTGCAGCAGGAGGAGATGTTTGGTTTGCATTAGCACTCATTTCTTCAAGCATTTATTTCCGGGATTGTCGCCACGGACACCCAGTTGGTAATACTGCAAATATATAAATATTGCAATACTTCAGTCAATACAATCAGTGTTTTTACCTCATTCTCCGATAGTCATTAAGACATTTATTTAAATGAAAATCTTCAAGACTGCCACTTTAATGCAGAGAATAATGTCAGCTGATACAAGTAAATATTTTTGTTTGCTAGGGTGTGAAGAGCTACGGGTGCCGTATATGTCTGTTTTGAAATACGCTGAGTCTGAAATATGTTTGTCTTTGTAGTGAAGTACCTGGGCCTGCTGGCCATGTCAAAGATCCTAAAGACCCACCCCAAGTCAGTGCAGTCCCATAAAGACCTCATCCTCCAGTGTCTGGACGACAAGGACGAGTCCATCCGCCTGAGAGCTCTGGACCTGCTCTACGGCATGGTACGAAGCAAAGACATTTGTTTTTACACATCAAGATTTGTCAGTCAATTCTCAGTTTAGGTGATGTTACTTACTCAGATTTTTAACTGCCAGAAAATTACCTCAGTTCTTAGCTGGCCAGAATAGCTAATAGGTGGAGTAGAAACTTCTGCAGGAGGTGTTAACACAATACCAGTGGCTGTGATATTATTTTATGTCATATGACACAATTCTGTGATTTGTTCTCTGTACAAGATATTACAGTCAATTGTGTTCTTCATTTTAAAGCTGTCTTGAGGAAAGTATCTCTCTGTCTCTCTCTCTGTCTCTCTCTGTCTCCCTCCCTGTCTCTCTCTCTCTGGCTCAGTAGAACAAATAATCTTTAAAAGATTTCCATTTCTGCATCTAAATTTGAGCCTTGTTGCTCTCTCAGGTATCCAAAAAGAACTTAATGGAGATTGTAAAGAAGCTGATGCTGCATGTGGACAAAGCAGAAGGAACCACCTACAGAGATGAGCTGCTCACCAAGATCATAGACATCTGCAGCCAGAGCAACTACCAGTACATCACCAACTTTGAATGGTCAGTTGCTCCACACCAGCGTTGTCTTAAATTTCACTCCTTATTCTGTGAATTTAGTTTGACGTCACTCTACGACATGATTCTTCAACCGTACCTCTTCATATCTGCTCTCCAGGTACATCAGCATCCTGGTGGAGCTGACCCGGTTAGAGGGCACACGACACGGCCACCTCATTGCCTCCCAGATGCTGGATGTGGCTATTCGGGTCAAAGCCATCCGGGTCTTTGCTGTTGCCCAAATGGCCACTCTGCTGGACAACGCCCACCTGATGACGGGCAACGTGCAGCGGAAGGGCATCTGTGAGGTGTTGTACGCAGCAGCCTGGATCTGCGGGGAATTCTCGGAGTACGTTGATTTTTGTCGTTGGGATGCACACTTACACACACTGGTATACACTGACTTAAGGAAAAGAAGACATGAACATAAGAAGGGAGCCATTCCCACAATAGGGGAGGTTAACCTGAAGTAATTAAAAAATGCTGCATAAATATGTTATAACTGTATTATGATAATAAGTTATGCCATGGGCCAAGTTGCCTTTAACAATGAATCCATAGGGAGAGATGATTGACAGATTGGTTCAGTTACTGTGCTTCCCTCCTCGGTGTTTCCTTCCTCTTTAATTGTCCAAGGTGACACAAGCGCTCGTTTTCTTTCCACACTTTGTAATGCTAATCCGTGTCTCTAAATTGGCCTCAGTGACACTTGTGTTATCTTTTTACTTGTCAAAAGTAACAAATAAATGTGTTACAGGGTTCCCGTTGTAGATAGTATGTCTGGAATATTATTTTAATTTCCGATGTGTAGGTTGTGTCAGTTGGACGCATTTCCAAACCTCTCTGACACATTAGCTGCTTTGTTTAGAACATTTTTAATTTAAGTTTTTAGAGGATCAAAGAACTTCTTTTCAAGAAATAATAATGAAATATTGCCTCAGTGTTGTGATTAAATTTCTCTAAATCCGCCTCCTCTCCGTAGACACCTGGACAACCCGATGCAGACGCTAGAGGCCATGCTGCGGCCAAAGGTGGCCACCCTACCGGGCCACATCCAGGCAGTGTATGTGCAGAACGCAGCCAAGCTGTTTGCCACCGTGCTGAAGAACCAGGAGGGGAACACGGAGGGCACCGCGGCACAGGAAACCAGCCAGCTGATGATAGACAGGCTGCCGCTGTTTGTCCAGAGCGCCAACCTGGAGGTGCAGGAGAGGGTAAGATGGAGACATGCATACAAGTCACAACTCGTATACTTCAAAAGGTTGCCCACTACATACAAATGTTGATAAATGTCTGCTAATCTCCCTGTCTGCCTCGCCCTCTCTCGTGTCCTCAGGCGTCTTGCATCCTGCAGCTGGTCAAGTACATCCAGAAACTGCAACAGAAAGACGTAGAAGTAGCGGAGGAAGTCATCGCTCTGTTCGCTGGAGAACTCAACCCTGTAGCCCCCAAAGCACAGAAAAAAGTGCCTGTTCCTGAAGGGTGAGTTTGCTCAGTACACGAGGAACACACACACACACATACACATACACACATTAAAACTGTTATTAACACTGCATTATGACACAGTTTGACATGAATGTATTTCTAATCCTTTTGAGTAAAACCCGTAGGACTTGTTCATACCATAGTGCTCCACCAGCAGGTTTTAGCAGAAACGTGTAATGTGTCCGTTAGTGTTGACCAGTGAACTTTAAGTGAGTTTGTTTGTGCAGTCTGGATTTGGATGCCTGGATCAACGAGCCTCCATCTGAGAGCGAGTCTGAGGATGAGCAGCCCAAGGCTATTTTTGCCAAGGAGGAGACCAAACACTCCCGCCCCCGCCACACAGAGGTGGACGAGAAAGAGCTGGCAAGGGTGAGCTGGTCGATGATCGTTGCATTGCTGAGCTGAGCTGAACAAGCAACATTGTTTTATGAATAGTGTAATTGTACAGTAGT